GAAGAGGATTGGGAGAATGTCATATGGTCAGATGAAACCAAAATAGAACTGTTTGGTAGAAACACAACTCGTCGTGTTTGGAGGAGAGAGAATGCTGAGTTGCATCCAAAGAACACCATACCTACTGTAAAGCATGGGGGTGGCAACATCATGCTTTGGGGCTGTTTCTCCGCAAAGGGACCAGGACGACTGATCCATGTACAGGACAGAATGAATGGGGCCATGTATCGTGAGATTTTGAGTGCAAACCTCCTTCCATCAGCAAGGGCATGATGAAACGTGGCTGGGTCTTCCAACATGACAATGATCCCAAACATACCGCCCGGGCAACGAAGGAGTGGCTTCATAAGAAGTATTTCAAGGTCCTGGAGTGGCCTAGCCAGTCTCCAGATCTCAACCCCATAGAAAACCTTTGGAGGGAGTTGAAAGTCCGTGTTGCCCAGCGACATCCCAAAACATCACTGCTCTAGAGGAGATCTGCATGGAGGAATGGGCCAACATACCAGCAACAGTGTGTGCCAACCTTGTGAAGACTTACAGGAAACGTTTGACCTCTGTCATTGCCAACAAAGGATATATAACAAAGTATTGAGATGAACTTTTGATATTGACCAAATACTTATTTTCCACCATAATTTGCGAATAAATTCTTTTCAAATCAGCCAATGTGATTGTCTGGATTTTTTTTCTCATTTTGTCTCTCATAGTTGAGGTCTACCTATGATGCCAATTACAGGCCTCTCTCATCTTTTTAAGTGGGAGAAACTTGCACAATTGGTGGCTGACTAAATACTTTTTTGCCCCACTGTATTATATATATATATATATATATATATATACATATATATACAAACACACACACACACGTGATTTTGCACACCCGTGCTGCCCTGTAGCAGTATTTCTGCTATAGGGAGGCATGGAAGCGGTTTAAAAAATAAAAAAAAACCCAAATAGGTTTATACATACTTGCTGTGTGCAATAGTATTGGAGAGAGGCCCCGAAACCTCCTCTTCAGGGGTTCCTCATCGGTGCTCTCGGCTCCTCTGCTTTCTGTAACGGCACAACTGCGTGCTCTCTTCCAAGCTGGGCTGTGTGTGTCGATAGACGCACACAGTGCTGCTAGGCCCCGTCCCCACTCCCTTCTCACAGGATTTGATTGACAGCAGCAGGAGCCAAAGGCCCCTGCTGCTGCCTATCCCGTGATGCAGGGAAAGAGAGGAAATAGAGTGCTGCATTGAGTGAGGACTCAGGTAAGTATTTGGGGGGTTGGGGGGGCGATACTAATACTGGAACATTTTTACCATAATGCAGGGAATGCTCTAAGGTAAAAAAAATGTCTAGACTTTACAACCACTTTAACTTCTACACTACCTGTTCAGCTCCTGCTACATCAAGATTTGCACACAGATACAAGACACAGAGCTCTGCTGTTATGTAGCGTGTCGCTGTGTGTGACTACCAGGACAGGGTGACAGCGGGAACGTGATGCAGGTGTACTTTGCAATGATATGGATCTGACAGTCCTGGAAGTGTTGGATCCCTGCTACATTTACTTTGCCCAGAACTTCAAAAATAATTTTAAAAAAGATGAACATGTAGAGAATCATTTTAGCATTTATTATTCCCTACTGCTGCCAATGTTTTATAAAAAAAAAAAAGGTGTGGGCTGGTAGCTGGGGCTTTTTAAACCCCTTCTGGACCTTCAGAGATACCTCAGCACAAAAACAATCACATACAAAACCAATGATATTATATTTTATTTACAATAACTTTAAAAAAAAAAAACACACACACACAAAATGCAAATAATGAAAGCAATTAAAACCTTGAACCATCTCTTGGATACCAAAAGCTTCTAAAACTCCTTCAGTTTCTAAACTTAAAGCAGAACTTCACTTCTTCAATCAACATTGTCTATTTTCAATCCTTATACTGCTAGCATTAGTAAATAGATAGGAAAGTATATCATATTTACTTTTTTTACACTTCTTTTCACATTTCATTAGTTACTTCCTGGTTTCCAGACCTAGGCCAAAATGATGTCATACATCCCAGGAGTTTTCAGGACCAGGGGAGGGGTTTTCTCAGCTAAGCACACCCTCCTTCTTTCGTGCCTGAGCCAAGCGCAGATGGATTCCAGGAAGTAACTGCTACATGAATCATCTGCCCTTATTCAAGATGACCATGGCCAGAAATGCTAAAGAGTGTTTTTCAAAATAAAGTGTGGAGACAGATGGGTGAGTTTAATTTGAATATTAAAAAGAATTAAATTGCGTTTTTGGTTTGTAGTGCTCAGATGCAGTGTAGTTCTGCTTTAATTACCATGTAATTTATTACATCCACATACCAAGTGGTGCAGTGGTGGTCTTAAACACAGACTGTACAACAGTTCCCTTTGAAATGTGTGCATTTGACCGTGTAACTCGTGCAAGTTCATACAGAGCAAGATCTTTAGTAATGGCAATGTTACTAGTGATGACTAGAATTTCACACATAGAATTTCTTGTTTTGCAAATTACAACTAATTTACATTTGTAGTAAATGATTTATGTTACGATCTAGGGTAGAAATGATGAAAATCAATATTTGGCCAGTCAATTTGATACAGTTCACATTTACCATTTTTTTCAAATTCCCATAGGACAGTGACGGACATTCAGGACCAATAATCATAACTATTTCACATTGCACTAGTATTAGTTTTTATTCAGCATTGTTGGGTGTAAGGAAAACAATTGAACTGATGCTATTAAACCCTATAAAGAGCATAGCATGTCTATAGTAAAAATGTGCACTTGACTTAAATGACAGGTCAGTATGAAAGATCCTTTAAGCTTCTTTCTGGCACTGAAGCCAGTTGCACACCTAGATTCTGTATATAAAACTCAATAAAACCTATAAGAATGTCAATCATATACATCAGCATCAAATGAAGTGGATTACATGACATGAAGGATATATCCATGCTCCCAACTCTATATGATATCCATGCTCCCAACTCTATATGATATCCATGCTCCCAACTCTATATATTTACTAATTAGGCAGTTTGAATCTTCTTGTGTGTAAGATGTAATTCCTATCCTCTTTTCTTTCGCATTTGTAGCATGACTGTAGCCCAAACTTTTTTTTTAGTTTAAGAGTCTTTAAATTTAGATAGGCTTCACATACATGACTAGTAAATGAATGCCTAACATCAGCAAACACTTTTAAGCAGTTAGAGCAACAGTTTTCTTTTTCTTTTTGGAATAAAGAATTGAAGGACCAAGTTCACCTTTGTTATAAAATCTACTATGTATTCAAGGGGTCCCAATAGTTTTAAAAAACACTTTGCAGCTTACAAAATTGGTGCTTAGTTTAAAAGCCATACCTAGTTAGTAGGCCATTGGAGCTTCCCCACAGCCTGGTCAAAAAACTACCAGTATAAGAGATCAGCCTAACCTGCCTAGGATCTTTGACGCACAGTATGTAGGAAATGCCTTCAGTATCACAAGAATTAGCTTTCTCCCTCTTTCATGACTCATGCATGTGCAATGCACTATCTCTCCCCCGGTCTTATTTTGACTGCTGATGCAGATACTGCTGGCCAGGCATCCTAATCCAGTAATCAGCTTCCCTGCACAGATTCAAACAGGAAGCCTTTACTTAGAGTTCATTTAAGATTCTCATTTTTAACTGAAGCCCTGATGAAGGGGAAGTTCCTTTGATCCCTGAAACATGTTGGGTGTCTTTAACACAATGCCAATAAATTAATCTTATCTTTCAGTCTGGCACTCCTTCCATATATGCATGTTGTTTTCTCCCCCTGTCACAGCAACTTTCCTTGGGTCAACCCTTTCCATATGTATTTAGTTTAAACTTTGGATTTTTGTGCTTTTTGCTGTGCTCTGAATATGGATTTTGCTACCTTATACCAAAATTGGGTGCAACTTTTAATCAGAATAGACAATGTTAGTTCCCCTTATGCATTCATACCTCACATATAAATGCTGGCTATACATGCCATCATAATTTCAACTTTGATTATTTCTTCATCTTGCAATATTGCCACGCAGATGCCAAATTTTCCAGTTTAATTGCCATTTTCAAAAGGATTGGAAAAAAAATTATCTAATACCTCACACATAATAAAAGAAAAACAATTAGACGCATCGCAAATTGATAATGATCATAGTAGTCTACCACATACATTCAAGCTTGATCTTATAAAATTGAAATGTTCTGTCTCATTTGAGTGGTATTCTGAATGCTATTCCATTTGATCAGAAAGTTCAATTGCATATGTTTGAAAACACGGCCATGCAATCACTAAACAGCAGGATAAAAAAAAACAGTCGTATTTGGAAATTGCATGAGAAAGCGTAACATGTATCAGCCCTAAAAGTGAGATGTTCCTTTATGCATTGAGGCTGACTGCTGACACCCATTGTCCGTGTACTTTTCCTTAGTCTATAAAAATCTGAATCAGACTATATGTACACTGATATTTATATCCAGCAATAAATGATCGTGTTTAGCAGTCACAGGTAATTTATAGCATTCTGGTAAGAATGAAGAGATGGTTGCTGATGATCCAGTCTATCAAACTGTAAAAACTAATGGAAACCTGTACTGGTAGAAATGCACAGGCTGCCATTCCTGATCTCTCTTTAGACTTCTAGTAAGCTGGCTGTCATGGCAAACTGATAGTTACAAAGTTTTCTGTTTGTATGGATTTTAGTAGTTTGGCTTCACTGTCTTATTTACCTGTTCCAGGCCAGTGATTTAGAATGTACTATTCCAGAGACAGCCAAACAACTAGCATTTTCAGAATGAGGTCAAACATGGCAGCTTTGTACTTTTTTCAAAGGTTTCTTTTAAATGATAATGCTTGTTGGTCACAAGAGGCCAGGTGACAGGATATTCAAGTTTCTCTTGTTTAAGCTTCTTTTGCAGAGTTTGCTTTTAACAACCTGGTGTAATGTATATACATTTTCCTTGAATCTTAACTGTCTTAATTAGGAGTGGAGATGCCGAACTGATGCCTTTTCTTCATCTGGACTTTTCTCCTTGGATTCTCTATATGCCCCAATGAAGGAACCATCCTCGTTGAAGTGACTATGTTCACCATCACTGTACTGAACAAGGCTGTCCACACTGTCTAAGGTTTTAATGTCCAGGCTTAGTGAGTCCATACTTCCATTTAATGCTTTCTTATCACTGCAATGTAGAGAAGACAAAGTTATATGTAAATGCAATCACTAGAATCCCATGTGCACGTCAACATATTAATGTCATATTTATGTAATTTTATCTGCAGTTTTCATCAAAATAATACTTTGTGTTGCAATTATAAAGGTCCTTGTTCAGGCTCTTCCTCATTTAGGGTGACAACATTCTATTTCTGTATCCTCATTGTGGTTATACTCCATATTCTTTTATATATATATATATATATATATATATATATATTTATTTATTTATTTAGGAGACTCAGCATGGGGCAGGAATCGGAAACGGTTAATTGTAGAGGGCAGGTACTTCCCCTTCAGGCTTGTTTATTAAGTTTATTAAGATGGTCAGAGAGGCTGGTTGATGTCAGTTTTACTGTCAGTAGTGAGGAGACTGGAATGCAGCCTGGAAGGTTTCATAGTCTGACTTTGACCTGTGGGGTGAGCTGGTCTCCAATGGGGACTGTGAAATACTGTGTGTGCTGTGGCTGGAGCACTGAAAGGTATTCGTATATGACTGTGTTGTACTGATGGGAAGATTTACCTGTCTTGCTTGAGCAGAATCTGAAGACAAAGCCTGTCACTTTTCTGTTTGCTGATAAATAAAGAGGATTTTTAAGTTGACCGAACTGTCTGTTTACCCTTCAGACCCTGACAGTATATACATTCTGTGTATATATATATATATACATATATATATATATATATATACACACACACACACACACATACATACATACAGTGGGGAAAATAATTATTTGATCCCCTTCAGATTTTGTAAGTTTGCCCACTTACAAAGACATGAAGGGTCTATAATTTGTTATCATAGGTGTATTTTAAATGATAGAGACAGAATATCAACCAAAAATCCAGAAAGAACACATGATACAAATTTGAATTGCAGTTCAGTTAGTAAAATAAGTGATCCCCTGCCAACCAACAATAATTCTGGCTGGCTATGTGCTTATGTGGTACACAGATTAGTCCTGTCAATTTAAGAAGGTGCTCCTAACGTCAACTTCATTATGTTTATAAAATACACTTGTCCACAGAATCTATTTCTTCCATTCAAACCTCACCACCATGGGCAAGAACAAAGAGCTGTCAAAGGACATCAGGGACAAGATTGTAGACCTGCACAAGGCTGGAATGGGCTACAAGACCATCATCAAGAAGACTGGTGAGAAGGAGCCAACTGCTGGATTCTTCCACTTATTCGCAAGTGGAAGAAATACAATATAACCATCAATAGCCCTCGGTCTGGAGCTCCATGCAAGATTTAGCCTCATAGGGTAAGGATGATCATGAGAAAAGTGAATGATCAGTGAAGAACTGCATGGGAGGAGTTTGTGAATGATCTCAACGCAGTTGGGACCACAGTTACCAAACAAACCATTGGTAACACAATGCGCCACCATGGATTGAAATCCTGCAGCTCCCGAAAAGTCTCCCTCCTCAAGAATGCACATGTACAGGCCCGTCTTAAGTTTGCCAATGAACATCTAAATGATTCAGAGAAGGATTGGGAGAAAGTGCTGTAGTCAGATGAGACCAAAATTGAGCTCTTTGGCATTAACTCGACTTTCCGTGTTTGGAGGAAGACAAATGCTGACTATGACCCTAAGAATACCATCCCTACAGTCAAGCATGGAGGTGGAAATATTATGCTTTGGGATTGTTTCTCTGCTAAAGGTACAGGCTGACTTTGCCACATTGAGGGGCCAATAGACAGGGTCATGTATTGTAAATCTTGGAAGAGAACCTTATTCTCTTAGCCAGAACACTGAACATTGTGGATGGGTCTTCCAGTATGACAATGACCCAAAACATACCGCCAAAGCAACAAAGGAGTGGCTCAAGAAGATGCACATTAAGGCCATGGAGTGGCCTAGCCAGTCTCCAGACCTTAATCCTATAGAAAGTTTGCATCATGTTTCTTCTAGACTTTTGGTTGATATTTGGTTGGTATATAAAATACACCTATGATAAAAATTATAGACCCTTCATTTCTTTATAAATGTAAGTTGTTGTATCTTTGAAACTTACAAAATCTGCAGAGGATCAAATAATTATTTCCCCCACTGTATATATATATATATATATATATATATATATATATATACACACTATACACATACACACTATACAACCAATATACTAGAGGTTTTGTTTAATTTTAACCGCTTTCCACCTACAATGTACTGCGGCCAGACGGCAGCAACAGGCAAAGCCTGGCTGTGCTAATACAGGTGGGCGCACAGCGCTCCCCCCCCCCATGACTGCTATGTGCGGCAGAGACAGTGGAATGAAGATCCCAGTGAATGGGTCCCGGTGAACATGCGATCGTTATGCGATCATGTGATCACAATGTAAGCAAAGCTGTTATGAATCAATCTCATTCATAACAGCTCTGCTTCTCTTCCTAGTGAGCTGTGATTGGCCCACAGCTGTCACATGATACATGGGGCCAATCACAGCACCCTGTACCTTGTGATCAGCTCCAGCCAATCACAGATCACTATCTTAAGCTGTCAAAAACAGTTCATGAATGAGTTAGGTTCATGACAGCAAGCTTTGTTTGATCTTTATTTCTCCTGCAAAGCAAAGCAAAGCAAAAAAAAAAAAATCCCTGATCACCCCCCACAGTAGTACAATGTTACTATGGTAAAATTGTATTATACTAAATAAAGAATTAAAAGAAAAAAAAAAAGAAAAAAATGTTAAAAATAAATAAAATAAAAAATATTATATTGAGTATTAAAAAAAAAGTCAGTTTTTCTTTTTTTTAACTACTTGTCGACTGCTTACCCGCATTTTGCGGGTGAGCAGCAGCTCTGGACAAAGCGACGTAATCTTACGTCACTTCCTGTTTTGGGGTGTGAACACGCCTGTGCCCCCGCTGCCCCCTCGTCAGTCCAGGGAGAGAAGAGAAAACACAGCACCAAGTAAAAGCACTACATTTTACACGCACACGTTAAATTAGCACATTTAACCATTTGATCACTCCTATTAACCCTTTGATCGACCTGTCACCCAGCCAGTGCCATTACTACAGTGTCAGTATATAGAATTTTTCACTGATCACTGTATTCCTGACAATAGCACCAGGATCACTTAGTGCCCCTCCCAGCTAGGGTCAGCTAGCGTTAGATTGACCGGACACTATCACACTTACGCTATAGGTCGCTGATAATTGCCATTACTAGTATAGTGTTGGTACGGATAAATATATTGATCACATACAGAACTATACTAGTGCCTCCTTTGTATAGTGTCCCCAAAAATGCAATGTTAGCAGGATCAGCCCCGTTCGCTGCCAGCACTAGCGTTTAGCCCCTTCATTGTTTTTCATGGAAGATTTTTACCAATTGATTGTGGGCCAAAGCAATTTATAACAATACATTGCCGCCCCCCAAATTCAGCTCTCGCTAGACAATTCACATGGAAACATATCACGGTTTCTGAATTTAAAACTTTTTTGGGCCTAACCCTCAACCTGGGCATTACAAAAAAGAATGAATTGCGGTCTTATTGGTCCACAGACCCGATTCTTCATATGCCCATGTTCTCTGCTGTTACATATATGCTCAACATGGACCTGCAATGTACTGGTACGTCACTGGACTTTGAGTGGTTATACCGGGAGGATACCTGCAGCTACAGGCATCATCCCAGTATCGTTTTTTTTTTCAGCTAGTGGTTGGCTTTCATGTAAAAGCAATCCTAGTGGCCAATTAGCTGTTGAATTGTTTTTACAAGCTGCAGGAAGGGACATCCCCCTCCCCTCCTGCTGCCTTCCACAGTTTTCTTGGGCTCTCCTGTCCCACAGGGGAATCCAAGAATGCAGCCGGCAGTTCTTCTGGCTGACTATAGAGCTGATCAGAGACCAGAATGACTCCATTCATTTCTATGGTCTATGAGACCAGAATCTACGAGCATTTCATAATGTCCATTTTGTTTTAAGAGTGATCAGATGATGTAAAGGCAGAGGAGATATCTAGAGTCCAATAGACCTCAGATTTCTCAAAAAACAATACCTGTCAATGCCTATTGCAGTCACAGGGGATATTTACATTCCCTGTGATAGCAATAAAAGTGATTAAAAAAAAAAAAGAGACAGTGTAAAAAAAAAAAAAATCAAAATAGAAAAAGAAAAACCCTCCCCCCTACGTGCATTCACACCTGCGTGTGCAAGCATTGACCCTGAGCCAATATGTAAACAGTGGTATGCATGTGAGATATCGCCAGGAATGTCAGATCAAGGGCAGTAATTCTAACACTAGATCTCCTGCGTAAATATAAATTGGTGACCTGTAAAGGCTGTTAAAGCATCGCCTATCGATATTAAAAATGTATGTACTTTGTCGCCATTGCACGAGCATGCACAACATCATCTTTTATATTTTAACAAGCAAATGGGCAATATATTGTGTTTTTGTGCATTAAAATTCTTAAAAGTTTATTTTTCCCAAAAGATTTGCGTTTGAAAAATACTGTGTGATGTAAAAAATTTCAACACCCATCGTTTTATTCTCTAGGGCCTCTGCTTTAAAAAAATGTTTAATGTTTGGGGGTTCAAAGTCATTTTCTAGCAAAAAAACTGTTTTTACATGTGAACAAAAAGTGTCAGAAAAGGCTTGGCCTTCAAGAGTGGGTGATGTGGGGCATAAGCTTCTAATGTTGGCCCTAAAATGCCAGGATAGTAGAAGCAACCCCTCCAAATTACCACTTTTTGGAAAGTAGACACTCCAAGGTATTTGCTAAGAGGCATGGTGAGTATTTTGCAGATCTTAGTTGTTGCCACATTTTTGGAAAATGAAGAAAGAAAACAAAAATGTATTTTATCTTTTCTTTTTTTTTTTTCAAAACCCTGTGAAAAAAATATTATCTGTAAAATACTCACCATGCCTCTTATCAAATTCTTTGGGGTGTCTACTTTCCAAAAAGGGATCATTTTGGGGGAGGGGGGGTTTGTACTATCCTGGCATTTTAGGGCCTCCGAAACTGTGATAGGCAGTGGGGAAGTGATATGAGGAAATATACCTTTGGAAGCCTGAAGGTGGTCATTGGATTTTGGGTGCCTGTATGTAGTTAGGCTTCCAAAAAGCCTATCACATGTGGTATCCCCTTACTCAGGAGAAGTAGGAGAATGTGTTTGGGGTGTTATTCCACATATACCCATGGCATGCATGAGCAATATATCATTTAAATGACCACTTTGTGTAAGAAAAAAAAATGTTTTATTTTCTAAACATTTGTGCCAAAAAATAAAATGTTCCAGGGACTCAACATGCCTCTCTGCAAAATCCTTGGGGTGTCTACTTTACAAAAAGGGGTCATTTGGGGGTGTTTGTACTGCCCTGGTATTTTAGCACCTCAAGAAATGTGATAGGCAGTCAGAAAGTAAAAGCTGTGGAAATTCCAATATATATGCTATAGTTTGTAGACACTATAACTTTTACACAAACCAATTAATATACATGTATTGGGATTTTTTTTTTACCAAAGACATGTGGCAGAATAAACTTTGAGTTTACTGGATATTTTTTATACCCAAAAGTGAAAAATATTGGTTTTTTTTCTAAATTTTCGGTCTTTTTTTGTTTATAGCGCAAAAAGTAAAAACTGCAGAGGTGATCAAATACCTCCAAAAGAAATCTCTATTTGTGTGAAAAAAAGGACATAAATTTCGTTTGGATGCAGTATTGCAAGACCGTGCAATTACCAGTTGAAATAGCGCAGTGCCGAACAGCATAAATTGTCTGATCCTGAAGGGGGGTAAATCTTCCCGAGGGCAAGTGGTTAAATAACAGTCGGGATGATTTCTAAGTATATCTGGCAGAAGCAGCGATAATTGATCAATCCTCTACTCAGCCATATACTGTACTAGATCAGGGTAGATCAACTTTGTACTCCACTGTATGTTAGTCACTATGAGCAGCACAAGATTATATAATTACTATGGTCAGTATGTTCAGCAAATTGCATAATAAAAACACACTTACCTGTACTCATCAAAAAAATTGCTCTTTCACAGACTGTACTTCAACTTCCGGGTGCAATTCTTCTTTTTCCTTTACTAAAAAGGACAGACATGATATTTGTCATCTACTTGTCATATTTTACCAGATTTCCCTTCATCCGCATTTTGCGACCTAATCCTGCATTGTTCCTTTATATTATTTTACCCATTTTATATAGCATTGACACATTACCACTCTGCTTTTGTAAAAAATAAAATGGAACCATTTGCATCAGTCTCTGAAGAGGATATGGCCCTGTCACATTCATACATGTAGATACAACAGAGTCAATATAGTTGGAAGCCAATTAATTTTGCAGTACATCTATAGATTGTATGATAAAACTGGAGAACCTGGAGGAAACCATTCAAACACAAGGATAGCATTCAAACTGTAACACAACATTCTTTATGGGGAATAAAACACAGCACTCCATCATTACCAGTTGAAATCATGAACAGCAGTAGTAATACTTGGACTAAAATTACTATAGTCTATTACATAACATTATCAGGATGCAGTTTTGAGTTGGATGATTCTTTGATACCATTTTGCTTCAGGTACCTTGACAATTTCTTCATACATTACTCTTTGTTGATAAATAAAAGCAGTAGGTCCTGCTCAGGTAAGATTTAAAGTAGAACTATAGGCAACACTTTTTTTTCATGTTGGATAGAGTAAGGGAGTGTTATAACCTCTGTAAGGTTTATTTTGGCATTTCTTTGTCCCATTGGGGAGATTTACCTTCACTTCCTGTCCCATAGCCACAACAGGATGTTATAGGAAATCCTTGCAATTTAAGGTAATCTCTTGGGGACCCGAGATCACCAGAACTAGCATCCCCATTGGAACATTTTCCCTGTATTGCTTTTCTGTGGGCAACCCAAAATTTGGTGTTTTCTTTACTTTCACTTTCGATGATTAAACGCCTCCCGCCCACCATATAGTAAAATGACGGACGTAAGGTGGTTCTCTCATTCTGGGAGGACGTCATATGACGTCCTCCCTTTCTAACCGCGCATACACGGCTCTGGGAGTGCGCAGCACGGTGATTGGCAGTGTGCTGTGTCCCTCGGACACAGCGGATCAATGGAAAGAGCCGAAGATGTCGGCTCGGTCATGTGATCAGCTGTGTCCAATCACAGCTGATCACATGTAAACAGGGAAATGCCGGTTATCGGCATTTCTCTTCCCACGAGCTGTCACGCTGACAGCTCATGAGGAGAGGAGAGCCGTAATCAGCATTCCTCGGAGGGGACATGTACACTGATCATCAGAGCACTGATGATCAGTGTTCCCTGATGATCTGTGTAGCTCCAGCAGCGCCACCTGTCAGTGTCCATCAGTGACAGCTCTCAGGGCTCATCCATGCCACCTGCCAGTGCTCATCAGTGCCACATCAATGCCACATATCAGTGCCCATCTGAGCTGCCTTTCAGTGTCACCCATCAGTGCCACCTATCAATGCCAGTCAGTGCCACCTATCAGTGCTGCCAATCAGTGGCACCTATCAGTGTCAGTCAGTGCTGCCTATCAGTGCACGTCAGTGCTGCCTATCAGTGCTGCCTAACAGTGCTAGTCAGTGCCACCTATCAGTGCCAGTCAGTGCCATCTATCAGTGAAAGTCAGTGCCGCCTATCAGTGCCATATATGAGTGCTGCCTTTCAGTGCCCATCAGTGATGCCTGTCAATGCCCATCAGTGCCAGCTACCAGTGCTTCCTCATCAGTGCCCATCAGTGCTCATCAGTGCCACCTATCATTTCCCATCAGTGCAGCCTCATTAGCGCACATCAGTGAACAAGAAAATCACTTATTTACAAAATTTTATAACAAACTAATAAAAAACTTTTTTTTTCAAAATTTTCAGTGGTTTTTGGTTTGTTTAAGAAAAAATAAAAAACCCAGAGGTGATTAAATACCACCAAAATAAAGCTCTATCTGTCACAAAAAAATGATAAAAATGTCATATGGGTACAGTGTTGTATGACCGCGCAATTGTCATTCAAAGTGCAACAGCGCTGAAAGCTGGAAATTGGCCTGGGCAGGAAGGGGGTATAAGTGTCCTGTAGGCTAGTGGTTAAGGTAATCAGGACAAACAGAGTGGGTAAATATCCCTGATAGGGGCACAGACTGCAATGAAAAGTAATCCATCCCCCTCTACTAAAACTTTTTAAAAAAAGTTTAGCCTTTAGTTATACTTTAAGCCTAGAATAACTCATCGTTAATGTGTCCACAGCAGATTATAACCATACCTGTATAATGGATAACATGTCACCTGAAGTTTAACTTTTACCTGCATATTTTCCTCCCCTGTTTCTTTGTACAAAACAAGCAACAAGCATTAACAGAGTTAGAAGAGCTACAGCACACATCAGTCCGATGAACCATCCTTGTGAAGACAGGCTGTGAGGTGCATTAGCGTAAGCTGCAATTAAAATATACAGAAGAAAATTAAAATGCAAAAACACATATTTATATTTGTACCGTTTAAAGTGTAATAATTATGTTGCAAAAAAGGCTTCTAGCAAATATGGCTATACAGGTTATGTGCATGTTTAACTTGTTAGATCTATTATGTAGTTTGACTGATCCCCAAAAGAGACTTTAAAAATTAATTTTCCTAAAACCTGATCTGGATTCTCCTTCACCCTATAAACACATCTGATTTATGTGATCATAAGGACAGTCTTTGAGGTGACTTGTCATAGAATCAATGAGGAACCTAAGGTAGGATTTAGATGAGTAATCATGAAACACCCAGTAGACATGAATGGGGCCATACTCTGAGTCTGGGGGTGCACTGTGCAAAGGACGATTTCTGTTCAGAGGCTGTAAAAAGAGTTAGGAGAGGTTTGTTTACTAACAAACCTCATGTGATCACTAGGTCATAGCTGTCATGATGACAACATGAGCCATAAACCATAATGACTGATTCCTGGTCATTAGCAGGGACTGGATTTGTAGGTACTGTACATCCAGGTGACAGCTAGAAGCACACACCACACACCTAGCTGTCAAATGGGAAACATAGATCAGTTCTAGCTTTGGACTTTGTGCCTGAGAGCATTAATATACAGATTGCCAGTGTCTGGTATTTTAAACCACTTCCATTAGTGAGAGCTGAGAAAATGTGCAATAGACTCCCTCAAGAGTTGGTTCTGGCCTGCTCAGTAGATTGTTTTAAAAAAGGTCTGAATTATTTCTTAGATACACATAATATAACTGGATACTAACATTTATAGGTAAAGTTGATCCAGGGAATATTGCCTCTCGGGGGATCAGGATGGAATTTTTTACCCTGCAGGAGCAAATTGGATCATGCTTTGCTGGGTTTTTTTTTGGCTTCCTCTGGATCAACTGTGGGTATAGGATTATAACTTCTTTTTTTAAAATTTTTTTTAATGGTTGAACTGGATGGACTTTTGTCTTTTTTCAGCCAGACTAAATATGTAACCATGTATTATGAGAGAACTGCGGGGTCTGCCACTGATGATTTCCCTCTGAAAATATTAGTTGCCTGGTGTTGAACTTTAATACACAAATTCAGAAAACTAGAACAAGCATGCAGAAAAAGAAAGTCAGAATGTAACTAGATTTTTGTTTCAGATCATAAAGTAGTAAAGCCAAAGCAACAACATGAGAGCTGGACAATTGGCATTTTCAGAAGGAAAGGTTTATAATGGTGGCTTGAATATTTCTCTCATGACATGCTTCCTTTAGGGCACGTTCACATTTATGCTTTGCAGTAATGACTGGTAAATGATGTGTTTTACCACAAGTTACAGCAAAGCATAGAATAAAATGCATAGAATGCTCAACCATGGTGCAGTGTGTTGTGGTACCATTTGATTGAACAGAGGTTTTCAATTTCACCCCAATGCAGTAATACAGTAGTGGGCAATGCACACCACACTGCAGCTAACCACAACACACATACCATACATTGTGATGTGCTGTATAAAAAAGGATCATGTCTGTTTTTTTGTTTGATAAGGTGCACTGCCAAAATGGATAGGAAGTCTTAATGCAGTGTTACGTATTGTGTCAATGAAAAGCATTATAAGAATGGAACCTTAAAGACATTAAAGCTCATATTTTTTTTTCAGACTGGATGTATATATAATAGGCTCTGCACTTCTTTTATTTTCATATAAAGGAGAATAACAAACAGTTCATCTAACAAAATCATAGGTATTGGACAGTGAGCATTTAACATCTTTGCGCACCATCTAACATCTGTGAGCACAACTAGTTTTTTTGGTCATTAGCTGTTGGATTCTCATATGGCCAAGACTAGAGAAGGCAGGGCAGGGTAATACCAAGTATGCGCTATATCAGCAGTGCCATTTATAGCCTGTAACTGTACTTGTTCCTTTATCCATTGGCAGTATCCTTGCCTCCTTAGTGAAGATCTATAAGGGCTTCTAAGTTTTAATGTAATGTTCTCAATCGCAACAGTGATTTTTTTTTCTTTCCTTTTAACTTTGAGCTTTAGAGAAGCCGAGCGAGAGAAAAAATGGGGTTCACTGAAGCTGTGCTGAACTATTTTTATCTTCTCTGAAGATATAGGATAAAGCACAGAAAAGCTCAATTAGGCTACCAAGTTTAGCTTTGCCTTTTGAGAAAATCAAAGGAAAAGATGAGAACTTCTACTGAGATGGTTGAGGAGGAGATGCCCACCCATTAATGAGAAGTCTTCTTGGAAACTAAACTTAGGAAATAAGGCAGAGAAATCGGTACAGGACTTGTACAATTCAATTCTGGAAATGTTTCTGGAAAAGACTTAGGTGTTATACAGTATATTAAATGATTTTCAGCCTTCTATGACAGTAACTACTGAGATAAGACTGAAAGTCAAAATCTTGTCAAACACTGTTAGATTTTCGTTCAAACATTCAGAGAAAAATAATTTGTTAGAACATTCTTTCTTGTCATCATTGGGGGGCATTTACTAAAACTGGAGCTCTCAGAATCTGGTGCGTCTGTTCATGACAGCTAATCAGCTTTAACGTCAGCTTGTTCAATTAAAGTGTTACTAAACCCACAACATTAAAATCAGTCTGTATATGCAGTAAAGCATGCTTGTTATACTCACTGTGGAACCTAAGGGGTTAATCTTCTGAATTGTGTAAAAACACTGTTTGATCCTGACTTCTATGATCCTCCCCTTCTTCCAGTGTTGCTCTTTTATCTCTTGATAAGATATATTATGTGGAGTCACTTTGCAAATGCACAGTTTGGCGTGCATTGCTAGAGAGATTTTTTTTTTTTTTTTTTTGCTTGAGAGAGTGTGTGTGATCAGCACAGGGCCAATTAGCACTGTCCTAGAGCAGAATGAAAACTCCTCCTACAAGCTTTAACGTGTGCTCACTTGGACACTGATAGAAGTCACAAGACTGCTGTAAGTGCTCATGAGAAAAGGTACTTAGCAGTTTATATTTACTAAATGAATTGCACTTCCATGTTCTGTGTACTGTGGGAGACCAGATATAGTGACTGCAGGGTCCTGGGTTTAGTAACACTTTAGGTTTTGACAATAAAACGTGGAAGCTGATTTGTTTCTATGCAGAGTTGAACCAGATATTGCACTCTCCAGTTTTAATAAATCCTCCCCATTGAGTCAACTACTTTTGTTTAAAAGCCTTTAAAATTTTGTGCAGACCTATTTAATGGTATCCTAGATGTATTAAACAGGTTTCTTTATAACATGTATAAAAAACACAATAACTACATTTACACTTAGAAATCTGTTCATTTGGAAAAAAAATTCCATCCTGCTCCTTCAAATTTTCTTGTCACTGTGGTCAAAAATGAATGTCGATTTGACCTCACTAAATATTAGAAAATCAAATGAACATTCCAAAAACACAAACATTTTCTAACAATTCTGTTGGTGTATGGCCAGCTTAAGGTAATGCAAAATTGTTTTTTCATAGTGTTGGATAGCATGGGGAACAAGTCCATCTACATCCAGGCAGTTCATGTGGCTGCCAGGGTTCAAGATCCCAGGGCACCTTTGCCAATGCACAATTCTTCCAGTGACATTTCTTACATCATTAAATCTATGGCAATGCAAACACGGCACAACTGAAAGTATGATTTGAACAGTGTGCCAGGGAATTTAGCCCCTATAACATGTCACTGGTAAGTTATTTTTTTCTACTGCATGAGGCATGCAACATTTTCATTATGTTCTGGCTTATGGTAAAAATTTTCAAGTCTTCCACCCGGTGCTTTTAGGGTACAATTATCCATACAGGTAATTTTTATAGGCACCACTCTGGGACTAGGGCCCTAACTGAAAACTATCATGGGCCCAAAGTACACACAATGCACCACAGGTGGTGAAGGGTTGCAGTATTTATTTATTTATTTCAAGTACTTATATAGCCCCGTCAATTTACGCAGCGCTTTACATATATATTGTACATTCACATCAGTCCCTAACCGTCAAGGAGCGTACAACCTAAGGTCTCTAACTCACATCCATACATACACATATTAGGCAGTGGCTCTCTATTTGTTATTGCTATTTGTGTCCCTGTATGCTTAGCACCATTTTATTTTAATTCATGCAGTTATTTCCCACAGAAAAACAACAGAACAATTAATAATTAAAAATATATATATAGATAGTGTGTGTGCATGTATTTTTTGTATTGTTATTGTCATTGAAACAGCATGCACAGACACAGCGAGGTTTGGGACTTCCATACTAGCTCTGTCTTCACACATGTGCAGTCTGAATCCCTGCAGCACATGTGAAGTAAAAAAATAAAAAATAATATCCAATTGTGAGAGAGGGAGTGGGGAGAAGGCAGGGGGAAATATGTTTTTATTTAGGGTGAAGGTCCACTTTAAATGCAACTCTCTTTTGGAGATCTGTCCATACAGCATCATGGTTGTACATCACCCACATTCAACTTTTTTCCTTTTGACACCTGCAGTAATGGCCAAAAATGTTGGCACCCCTGCATTTCTTTCAGATAATGTTCCACTTCACCCAGAAAATTGTTGCAATTACAAATGTTTCGGCATTCTCATGTTTATTTATTTTGTTTGTATTGGTATGATACAAAAAGTTAAGAAACAAAAGGCCAAATCTGACCCATTCCACGAAAAACACCAAAAGTGGACTGGACAAAATTATTTGCACCCTCAATTTAATATTTGGTAGCACAGCCCTTGGAAAAAAAATAACTGAAATCAATTGCTTCCTGTAACCAACAGTGAGTTTTCTAAACCTCTCTAATGGAATTTTGGACCACTCTCTTCTTTCACCAACTGCTCCATGTCTCTCAGATTGGGAGGGTTCCTTTTCCCAACTGCTGTTCTGAGATCTCTCCACAGGTGCTCTATGGGATTGAGATCTGGACTCATTGCTGGAAAAGTGGTCCTAAATTCCAGTAGATAGGTGTAAAGTGCAAAGTGTTAGATTTGGCTTTTTGTTTCTCCACTTTTGTGTGTCATACCAATACAAACAAAAGAAATAAATATGAGAATGCTGAAACATTTGTAATTGCAACAATTTTCTGGTGAATATGGTGCATTATCTGACAGAAGTGCAGGGGTGCCAACATTTTTGGCCATGACTGTACAGATTTTTAGATTTTGCTTGCTGTTCCACTGTAACTGTTATTGTATGTTGTTTGGGTGCTAGCATATCTCAAAAGACAATTTCATACAAATTGTAAAACAACAGGAAGAACAGTAAAGCAAGAGCCCCAGCTAGAGTAAGTTTAAGAAACCAAGTGATGGTTCAACCAGCTATCATCTGCAAACTACTTAAAGTGATACTAAACCTAAAAAAAATTTACCTTAATGCATTGTTTGCATTAAGGTAAAAATTGTTAAGTTCCTTGTGTGAACAGTGGTGTATTTTGGTTTTGTGCTGCCCTAGGCAAGACTAAAATCAGGCGCCCCCCACACATGCATCTAAATTTGCCCAACCCCTTCCTGTTTAAGATCCACCCCTTCATCTGTAAACTCTGCCTCTCCCTCTTTGGGCTGCACCTCTTCCTATTAGAGCTCCGCCCACTGTCAACAATGATGGGGCACTATGCCTCCCACACTGACACCAATGATGGGGCACTATTCATCCCACTGACACCAATGATGGAGCACTTTTCTTCCCATTGACACCAATGATGGGGCACTTTTCCTCTCACTGGCTCCAATGATGGGGCACTATTCCTCCCACACTGGCACTAATGATGGGGCACTATTACTCCCACTGACACCAATGATACTTACATTGCTGACCTCTGCTCCAGCGCGGGCTCCCTCCCTCTCCCATCCACAGCCAGCATACCCGGCAGCAGCAGCAGCACCACCTGCTCTGCCCAGATCCCGGCCACACTTACTTTACCGATCAGCTGTCTTCCTTCTTCGGCCGCTCTCTTCCTCTTCACCGGCTCCAGCTGATCCCTCACTTGATCTTTGATCTTCGTGCTCCCCTTGGCTCCTCCTCTCCAAGCTCCACCTCCTCACCAGTGATTGGCCGTCTGTGTGCCTTTCCTGAGCTACAGATCGGCGGCCAATCACCGGTGAGGAGGTGGAGCTTGCAGAGGGAGGGACAGGCTTCCATAGGCTGCCCAGTGATCTCGAGGTGTGACCAGATGAGAGGAGCGGCATGTCATTCCGACCACATCATGATGAGAATCCAGGAAGATGAAGACATTGGATGAACACCTTCTGCACCCCTCCTCCAGCAACACCTCGTGGACTGGAACAAAGTGGGCATCAAGTCGCGGACACAGGTAAATCACAGAAGCCTGTCCCTTTCCCTTGGAAGTGTCCCTTCCGTGGGAAAGGGGGGGTGCACCCTAGGCAAACATGCCGCCCTAGGCAAACACCTTGTTTGCCTCAGGCAAGTACGCCCCTGTGTTTGAAGAGAGGGGAGCAGAGATCAGTGCTGAGCATGGCTGCATGGGACGCGAACAACAGCAGGATCCATTTGCTCTTACTGCTGTCAATCAAGTGTCAATCGGTGGAAAGGAAGTGGGGGGGCAGGGCTAAGTCCCACTGTGTGTGTCTATGGAGTGCGGCCCTGTAGGCACACAGGTCGGGAGTGAGCATGCAGCATTTGTCCCCATAGCAAATGGCTTGCTATGGGGACACACGAAGAGGAGGAGCCAGGATCGCCTGCAGGGGACCCAAGAGGAGAAGGAACAGGGCCACTCAGTGAAATACCACTGCACAGAGCAGGTGAGTATAACATGTTTATTATTTTAATTTAAAAAAAATAATTCTGCCTTTAGTAACACTTTAATAGTCATTTTTGAGTGGATTCACATGTAAACTCTAGAACGTTGGTAATAACGAGTTAGTTCAGCAGCAAAGAAGAAGGAAATCAATGCAAGATATTCTTGGCAATCTAACAGAGAACACAAAAGAGAAGCATAGCATTGAAACAGCAACACAAACACATCACTAGACACATAACAAGCATCTGCACAAACCTATAGCGGGAACTTTGGCAGCAAAAGCAGGAGTGCGAGATGGGGAAAAAGGAATACTAGAGAATCCTGGAAAAGAAATGAAAATCTTTGAGATAGTGTCCTAAATTATATCAATTTGTACATTTTGTCTGCTTCATATGACACAAAAGCAGAGAGTGATATTGTACAAGCAGTTATTCCACATACAATGTTAACATTATCTAATGGATTTTCATGCAGAAAATTGAAAAATATGCCTTTATTGCCTTGCTTAGTAACAATGGAGGCTTGGCTAAGAAGCAGAACTTGGGATGCCATAGCTAAGCGAGGGGAAGAAATAGACCTTTTTAGAGGGATCCAAAGATTTAGAAAGACATATTGGGTGATCAATCAGTGGTTCTCATTTTAAAATGCTATTATGCTTTCCTTTACATTTGCAACCATGGGGGCCTCTTCAGAGAAACTGATGGCCCCTGAATCCTCCTGGTCTTCTATTTGCAGGATGGATCAGACGCTACAAGTGTGCTCCCCCTAGTGGCCACTCTGGCCTATGCAAGCTGTGTGCACTCTCCTTCTCTAGTTGAGCTCAGCAGCTACACCTACAGAAGAGATTGCACTGTGCATGTATGCAGTTTAACCAAGGCGAGCATCAAGGGGCAAACATTTGCAGTGGAGTTCAGCAAATGCCAGGACGGGGGGATCGGGGGCCAGCAGGTTCTGTGGAGAGGCCTTTACAGCTGCATGCGTAAAGGAAAGCAAAAACAGTATTTTAAAATGTGGACCGCTGGTATGTACATTTTATGGGATATGAAATTGCATAGTGGATTTTTGTAAAAAAAAAAAAGTTACTAAAGGTAAACTTACACTTTAAGAATTTTCCAATTTCCTAAAGCTGAACTTCAGGGAAACAGCGAAATACATAGATGAAATATATATATGAAAAGCTGTTTTACCCAATTTGATTTTCGTCCATTAAGCCTTGAGATGTACAGAGTTCTGCCATATAACCCTTTCAGACAGTCCAGGACTGTCTATGCTACAGTTCAGCAACACTTAGTCCTCATGCACACTGGACATTTTTACAGCGGCTGTTTTTGGCTTTTGGCGTTTTTTTCTACAACCAGTAAACTCCCTAGCATGTTATCCTATGTATCTACACATATGCTGTAATCATTGTTTTTTGGCAGGGTGTTTTTTGGCTGGAAAAACCTAGAACTAGTGGGTTTCTAGAGGAGTTTTTTAACTGTAAAAACGCTCTAACGCTAAAAAACAAGGTAAAACATGGCAAAACGTAGGTAAAACGCAGCAAACCAGCGTTTTTGGATGTCTTTTGAAGCAAAAAAAAAATGTTTTTTAATAAAAAGCCTAAAACCTACAAATGTGGAAAAACGTGGAAAAACACTGCTAAATGCTAATGCAAAAATGCTAAAAAACGCTGAAAAACTTGTGTTTTTTAACGTGACTTTACAGAGCTAACGCTACCAGCGTTATTAAAACGCCCCGTGTGCATGGAGTCTTACAGGTCTCCCCCCCACCCAAACCTTGCACTGGACAATGAAAGCAATAGCAGCAGACTGATGAGCTCATCTCTGTCATTCTGCTCTCAACCTGTCATAATGGTTCTTGCATTGTTGGCTCCTTGTGCTGTTTCTCCCTACCCAAGTCTGAATTTGGATGTACAGGGACTGCAAGAGTCTATAAGGCAAAGCTGCATTATGTGCATCTGTTATACCTGCCTGGAGTTCAGATTTAACAAAAAATAAAAAGAATGCACTGATTCATCAATGAGTATTGTGCAACTGAAGAGATACCTCTTCTACGTCACTGATCAACTGACTCTAACCTGGTCCTGGAGGGCTGGGAACTAAAGAGATTATAAGATAATAAGAGAGCCAACTCAGTGCTTCTTTGTAATATGTATAAATCATTGCACACCTGAGGCTGGGGTGTTTTGCTCAGCTAATAATAGCTGACAATGTAGTATACTTCAGTCATCTAATTGCTAGGTGTTGAATTGGTATAGCAATGGACATCACTCCTCACAGATGAGGTTTATACATTTTTATCATTAAAAAAAGAAAAACACAGAAGCCACCTTTAAATTACCCAAGGTGTCCAGACACAATTTCAAATATATTAATATCTACTCTATCGTCATCATATAAATATTTCTTAATATTTTTAATAACTGCTGACATATGGTATTGTCTATTGTAATATCTTTCTTTTAATTACTAGTAGTGCACCAAGAGAGCTTCAAAGAATTAATTTTGCACAGACCAAGTTTGTAATTCAATTGTTTAATTAATCTATCTTTAGTATCTAAAGCCAAATGTTTTACTTTTGGATAGAGAGAGAAATTGATGAAACCATTGATTGACAAATAGACAGGGTGGTTTACCCAATTAGGACACAGACCGCAATATAGATTTCACAGACATGCTAAACCTCCTACTCTCCATCCAAAACTAGAAAAATGTTTTGCCTTTACATACTATTTAAATATTCCCACCCTATCAATAGCTAAAAACGTATGACTATATATATTAAGCATCTGCTATAGATAAAGCAAGGAACTTGCACATTAGGTCGTCATGTGCACAGGTGGTTTGGCCCATTGGCACACACAAGCAGTTTGGCCCATACACCATACAAAAAAAGGGTAAATTGGTGCCTGGGAGGCACAGGTGTAGTGTATGAAATATAGGGCCACATGCATATGCCCTGAATGCAGAAGATCAAAAGGGCAAAACTCCCCGTAAGCATACAGCCCTGTACATGAGTACCGACTGGAATAGTGTACACCCATTGCAACATTTCAGCCTGTGGATTTTGATTGCTGCATGTGTGCATTCCGAGTGCCAAGAGTACATACAGTGAGGAACAGAAGTATTTGAACACCCTGCGATTTTGCAAGTTCTCCCACTTAGAAATCATGGAGGGGTCTGAAATTCACATTGTAGGTGCATTCGCACTCTGAGAGACAGAATTTAAAAAAAAATATTCAGGAAATCACATTGTATGATTTTTAAAGAATTTATTTGCCTTGCACTGCTGAACATAAGTATATGAACACCTGAGAAAATCAGTGTTAATATTTGGTACAGAAGCCTTTGTTTGCAATTACAGAAGTCAAACATTTCCTGTAGTTCTTGACCAGGTTTGCACACACTGCAACAGGGATTTTGGCCCACTCCTCCACACAAATCTCCTCTAGATCTGTCAGGTTTCGGGGCTGTTGCAGAGCAACATAGAGTTTCAGCTCCCTCCAAAGATGTTCTATTGGATTGAGGTCTGGAGACTGGCTAGGCCACTCCAGAACCTTGATATTCTTCTTACGGAGCCACTCCTTGGTTATCCTGGCTGTGTGCTTAGGGTCGTTGTCATGTTGGAAGACCCAGCCACGGCCCATCTTCAATGCTCTGACTGAGGGAAGGAGGTTGTTGCTCAAAATCTCACAATAAATGGCCCCATTCATCCTCTCCTTAATACAGTGCAGTCATCCTGTTCCCTTCGCATTAAAGCACCCCCAAAGCATGATGTTACCACCCCCATGCTCCACTGTAGGGATGGTGTTCTTGGGATGCAACTCATACTTCTTTTTCCTCCAAACACAACGAGTGAAGTTTAGACCAAAAAGTTCTACTTTGGTCTCACCTGACCACATGACTTTCTCCCATGCCTCCTCTGGATCATCCAGATGGTCATTGGCAAACTTCAGACAGGCCTGGACATGTGATGACTTGAGCAGGGGAACCTTCTGTGCAATGCATGATTTGAAACCATGACGGCGTAGTGTTCTACCGACAGTGACCATTGAAACTGTGGTCCCAGCTCTCTTCATGCCATTGACCAGCTCCTCCCTTGTAGTTCTGGGCTGATTCCTCACCTTTCTTATCATCAGTGATACCCCACGAGGTGAGATCTTGCATGGAGCCCCAGTCCGAGGGAGACTGACAGTCGTCTTTAGCCTCTTCCATTTTCTAACAATTGCTCCAACAGTTGATCTATTTTCACCAAGCTGCTTGGCAATTGCCCCGTAGCCCTTTCCAGCCTTGTGGAGGTCCACAATTTTGTCTCTGGTGTCTTTTGACAGCTCTTTGGTCTTACCCATGGTAGTAGTTGGCGTCTGACTGACTGTGGGGTGGACAGGTATCTTTAAAGAGCTCAGACAGGTGCTACTAAGTTAGATTAATGAGTGGAGTAGAGGTGGACTTTTTAAAGGCACAGTAACAGGTCTTTGAGAGCCAGAATTCTTGCTGTTTTTTAGGTGTTCAAATACTTATGTTCAGCAGTGCAAGACAAATAAATTCTTTAAAAATCATACAATGTGATTTCCTGAATTTTTTTTAAAAATTCTGTCTCTCAGAGTGGGAATGCACCCACAATGTGAATTTCAGACCCCTCCATGATTTCTATGTGGGAGAACTTGCAAAATCGCAGGGTGTTCAAATACTTCTGTTCTTCAATGTAGGTGATTCCAAGGGGTTTACTGCATTGTGTATTTTGTTTATGTTTTTGATGGTTGTTGGTTTATTGCACATTTGCCCTGCTGAGAAGGTACTCCCTGGGAAGTAAGAGCTATCTCTGCTTGCCAGGCTTTCCTGGGCTTTTTGGGGAAGTACCGCATTCTGCTGGGGCAAACACACAAAAAAGGAACCACCGCTCAGGGGCATCAAAGTTATTAAGACGGCTGAAGGTCTGGTTCCAGGTCTCCCCAAAGAAAGAACAGAATGCTGCTAAAGATGTGAACTACTAGTTGCAGTTAAGCACCCCCTGTGGGAACATAGTCAGTGTTACAGGCAGGGGCGGACTGACCATTCAGTCACTCGGGCACTGCCAGAGGGCCCGTAGGGGGCCCCATAAGTAGTAGGCTTTTTTGAGTGTGGCCAAGGACACAGGGGCCCCATGATCCCCTATTGCCCAGGGGCCCCATGAGTTGTCAGTCTGCCACTGGTTACAGGTATATGGACTCATTCCACTGCTAAATGGACTTTGAAAATTAAGGGCTTTCTCACCTATATAAAGGTATGATTACTTCATGGTCATTTAGGGGCACCAGGTGATCAGCTATGGGCTCTTAACAGAACATGTACAGGAATATATACTAAAGATATTGCGTGAATTGCTTATTGTTACTTTTTGAAAATTTCAATAAAGAATGTTTATAGTTATTCAACTTGGCCTGGTCCAATATTGGACACACGGCTTCATTCACTGTGCTGCAATATAATTTGATTCCAGCTTTCAGTGCAATTATGTTGTGCTACTTGGATGCAACTTTTGCCTCAGCCCATCTTTTGGGGGCACTAGCAAACACTTTCTCTGGGTCCTCATTTAGGCATAGTGAGCCCCACCCACACAAGCCTGATTTTTTTTACATTTTGTGGCTCAAATCATTTGTATGCATGAGGTCTAACAGAGCCACTGTTACAGTGGTTGTAACCCTAAAAAAAAATGTTCTTGTTCCTTTAAAGCATGATAAATAGCACAGTGCTTTTGCATTGTCATTTGTCCCAATACATGTTCTAAAATACCTAGTTGATCTTCCCCTATGTGTACTGACCATGCTAATCATGGTTGCTGATCCATGATAGTGTGGTCAGTTTATGCCCCTTCATCTTGCTGTGTGTTTAGAGTATCTGCATCTCTCCCTCCCTCCCTGCCTTTTACTTCTGTAGTAAGTGTTGTGAGCCAATCTCTTCCCCAGGGGCGGACTGACCATTTGGAAACTCGGGCACTGCCCGAGGGCCCGGGATCAGTAGGGGGCCACATGAGATGCCCCTGGTACCTTTTTCATAGGCTTTTTTGAGCTTGGGCAAGGACACAGGGGTCCCATGATCCCCTATTGCCCGGGGGCCCCATGAGTTGTCAGTCCGCCCCTGCTCTTCCCCTCCTGCCTCTATTCCCCTGTGGCTGTAAAATAACATATATAAATTAATTGTATCCCCTCTGTTTTAGGAAGATATAAAGTACTGTTTTTTACAAAATTATAATGCTAAACACTTTCTTTGCATAGCGCCTCTGTGTGGTCACGCCTCTGCAAGCTTGCATATGTCAGAGGGAATCTCAGCCCCTCCTGCTGTACTCCCTTAGATCAGGAAGAACAATGGAGGGAGGACATATGACAGTATGCTGTGCTGGAAAGTATTTAGCATTATATTAAAAAAAAAAAAGACACACTGTACTGCATATCTTCTTAAAACAGAGGGGATGCAAGTAATTTACGAATGTTACTTTACAACCACTTTAATCAATAATCAAATATCATCACCTCTTACTATCCTTCTGTTAGCATAGGGGGTTGCCTTCCACTGCAGACCTTATTTTAGCACCCCCATAGTCCTAATACTGCTCTTATTTATTTGTTTGAATGGCAGACAAAAGTCTGAAACATAAAGATCAGAAGTCTAGAGGAGCAGGTAAAATCTATAAATAGGAGTTCATACTAACAGTGCTAAAATCTTTTATTATCCAAGTAAAAACTCTTTTCATACCAATGTCACAGCATTAGCACTTCATATTAATTGCAGACAAATTCAGCTTCAGGAGGTAATGCTAGGTGGCTTACATTATTAGGCTTCTCCACAATTTTGACACATACAATATATATGACTTGTCAGTAGAATGATGGTGTTGGTAAAATGATTCTTTGCCCTTTTTCTTTAATCTTGTGCTAACTGAACATTTTTTGCTGCTGAACCTAGCCTATAAATACACCAGTTTATTGGTTAAAAAATAGAAAATAGGGAGTGCTGGTGTAAATCACAATTATGTTCTATAGTTGCCTCCTAAAATGATTGTCATTGTGTGGACTCCTTTCCTCTGAAGGTGGCTATGCTGCCTAATACAAAAGCTATGTTCCTATTTTTAGTGCATTTTTAATGAAATAGTGTACAAAATGCACAAAGAGATCTCTGCTGTCAATAGCATTATATCTTCCGAGGTGAAAACAGTGTCACTGACTTCAATGAGATTGAGCTTGTTATGAATTTTGTGTCCATTTCTACATGTGCCAATATTGCAAGGAAACTGTAAAAATGGTCATAGGTCATTCTTTGCTGGTCATTTGTTACTGGCATATCGAAACAGTTATAGTCAGAGGTTAAACATGAAAGCATTGCTATTTTCTGTGTTCTGTAATCTGGATTTATACCAACACTTGTAATTTATGTATATACAATAATGTGTCTTGCTATAAATGTGTATCTATTATAAAGCAAATAAAGCAAAAAAGTTGCCCAGACAAAACAAATAAATATACATCAATACATTCAATTAATTAATAATGTTCAGTATATGAATAAACATCAAGGATTACAAATTTATCAAAATACTTATGAATAGTATAGTATATTTGAGTGCACAATATGGTTGCACAGGTACATGTGAGTTTTTTATGTTTTAAATAAGTGTTTTTAATTAACGGAGAACACTATGTAGTGTTTTACATTTTATTTATTGAGGGCCTTTGAAAAGAAAATTGACGGAGATGATTGATACTTTGAGAGAACTGTTTTCAGTTGGAAGGGAAGATGCTGTGATTAGACCTTTTATAATATTAAGGTCCATCTTGGAAGTTGGGAGTGTGTCCACTGGTGATAGTGAAGGTTTCACTGAATGTTTTTTTCCAAGGTTATAAAGAAATCAGAACAATCATGGATTGTTGTTTCCACACAAACTCTTATACACCTATAGTGAGGACTTTGACACTTTGAAATTCACTTTGAATTTAGTTATTATGTTTTTTTATACTCTCTGCACTATTAATTAATTTATTTTTAATTAATATTTATTTGCTGTATATATTGGCTATTTTAATGAATTTTGTCATCTTTGATGTTCATTTATGCACCTGGCATTATACGATTGACACATATTTATTCATGTATTCTGTTTGGACAATACTTTCCTTTATTTGGCTATAGCAGATGCACATTTACTGTATAGCACAGCACATTATTGTATATTTTCTTTTATTATTTATATCATTGTAGTTTTAGTAGCTTATTTGTTTGAAAGGTAAATTGGCGCAAAGTAACATATTAAGGGACTGTTGACTCATGGTTAATATTAGGTGTGGCACATCTCTGCCAGATCCATTGTATTAACCTTGTAATTAGAGATAGACAGTCTGCATCTATATTTTTTTTTCACCAAGGGTGGTCCTTGTTAAATCTCAGAAGAAATATTTCTTATAAAAAGAGCTGTGTAGTTTATTTCACTTTGTAATATAAAGTCTACTATATTACTTACTTGCTTGTGCTAGTGTTAGTCCTTCCTCAGTTGCAGATTTTCCGCAGCCCACTTGCGTACATGCCTGCAGATAGAACTTGTATCTTGTGCCAACCTCAAGACGAGGAATTTTTTGGCTGAGAGCATTAGGGTTAGCTATGGTGATATTGCTTAGGTTTCCGATTCCATTGCTTTCATTAACTGAAAAAAAAAAAACCCCACAAAGAATCAACTCACAGAAAGAATTTGTAAAGTAGTTAACATATTGCAACAAGATATCAGTATTTCATATAGTACATAAAAGGTACTCAATGGGGCAAATATATGAAAACTGAAGTAGAGAACACTGGAATAAAAAAAGGAGCAGTTGTCCATATCAACAGATCAAGTTAATTGTTCCATTTGATAAAAAATAACTAGTGGTTAGCATGTGCTAAAGCTCTAAATTTACTCCAGGTTTCAGAAATACATTTTGTACTTGTATTTAAACATAATATGGGTATCAGTCCTATATTTCATTTGTTGCAGGTTTTAAAAGGAACCCCAATATGTCTGGCTGAAGAACATACTCATCTGGTAGTACAAGACATAGTTGGTCAGGATGCCATTTGCCCTTTTTGGTGCTTCCCAGGTTAGCATGAAAGATTCCCTGTCAGAACTTGCAATTTGTAGAAACTGTGGCTGTTCAGGAACTAGAAAGAAAAAAATGTAACATTTGCATAATGGAGCAAGGAGCAGTTAGTTTCAGTAACTCTTTTGAGCAGAAAGCTTGAAATTTAAAGGGTTTATCTATCAACTTTTTAAACCATGATTTACACAACGTTCAACCAAGATTCACCCAAATAATCAAGCCTTATGTGAAAAATGGGTGTAAACTGTGGTAATCTTGGGTGAAAAAAAAGATAAATAGACCTTGCAGTGATACTCTTTTCAAGCAAATACATGTTTTAAAGATGCAAGTTTTAAAGACATTAGGTTTATTTGTCAGCCATATACAATTTAATTACCAAAATTATTTCAGTCTCTAAAACTTTAATTATAGGAAAAGATTGATGTTGCACAATCAGTGAAATGTTTGCTGTGACAGAAGTTGGTTGCTAGGTGCAGCACAACAACATTGAATGTTTCCCTTTAACAGGCACCATTTATATTTAGAGTGGTTAAAAAGGCAAAACTTTTTTTTTTTTTTTTTTACCTTAATGCATTCTCTGCATTAAAGTAAAAAAACTTTCAGAAGGTGCTCCCACCACTTACCTGAGCCTAATCTCGATCCAGTTCTATGCTCATCTGCAGCAGCTCCTCTTCATGTTCTCTGTTCTCAAAGGAGAATAAGCAGCATCGGGAGCCATTGTCTCCTGCTCCTGTCAGTCAAATCCTGTAAGGAGGGAGTGGGGGATGGGTGGGGGGTGCAAGCAGCACTGTGTGTGTGTCTATAGAGGCACACAGCCTGGCTTAGGATCGAGGCCACAAGAGCCAACGGGGGAACCCAGAACAGTTCAGTGCCGCTGCGTTCAAAACTATTGCACAGATCAGGTAAGTATGATATGTTTGTTATTTTAAGAAAAATGAACCTTTACAATCACTTTAGGTGTGTCTTTGCTGTATTCAATTTTACCAATTTTTGGACAGTTTTGGGTACACGGTGTTGTGTTTTTTTGCACATTAAATATTAACCCTGAAGCTATGTGTTTTTTTTTTTTTAATCAGCATCAGGGATTTTTAATCAGCACCAGGGACAGTATTTACATCACTGACAAGTGTCCCATATGCTGGTGGGTGCCCTGTCCCTGTAAATATTCATTCCTTAGTGCTCTGGATACCTCCATAGCTGTGATCTTCCAGTACCGTGGGGGTTAATACAAGTGGCTCCACCTGTCACAGCACTAATTAAAGGTGCCTTTTCCACCTCCTTGCTTCATTAATATAAGCCATACTATCAGTTCCCACAATGAAAAGCGCTCTATGAATGAAGGAGTCAGACCTTTCATTCATCTGCTCGTCCTCCATTCATAGAGTGCTTTTCATTGCAGGAACTGATAACACAGCTTCTATAAATGGAGCATGGAGATGAAAGGGTGGGCATAGTTGACACTTTTGACCAGTGTCTGTAATAGGTGAAGCCTCTTATACAGGGGTGGACTGACCATTTGGAAACTCGGGGCACTGTGTGAGGGCCTGGGGTCAGTAGGGGGTCCCATGAGATGCCCCTGGTACCTTTTTCACAGGCTTTTTTGAGTTTGGGCAAGGACACAGGGGCCCCATGAGCCCCTATTGCCCAGGGGCCCCATGAGTTGTCAGTCCGCCCCTGCTCTTACATAACCCCGCAGCACCAGAAAATCACATATCCCTGATACTGATTTAAAGAAGAATTGTGGGATATCACGAAAAAAAAAACATATATACTCACCTACATGGCTGCAGCATGGATCCAGTGCTGCAGTTGTCCCCTGCCACCTGTAAGACCAAGAATTGAGCGACCACATGAATGCGGATTGCTCAGTTCTCAGTCTCCACTGAGCAGAGAGTGGTGACTATCAGTCACCGGCTCTCTGCTCTGCCCCTCCAGCTCTTACTGAAGTGCCAGGCTGTAGAAGGGGTGGGAGCGGGTGGCTCAGGATCTCAACAGCTAGCTGACAGGCTGGGCCAGTTGCCGGTCAGGCATCTGGGTGGATCCCGACCTTAAAGTCAGGATCCTTTCAGAGCCTGGACCAGCTCTGTGAGACCATCTGACAAAGCGGGCTTTAGTCTGCTGTAGGCTGAATCTGGGTCACAGGAGTGCAGAAATAACGTGCATTCCTGTGACCTAGAAGAGAAGTATGGCCAGAAAAGCTACACATGAACTTCAAAGTTCTGAAACTTTCAACACAAATGTGGCAGGAATGTGTCCTTTACCTAGTAATTGTTATTCTAAAATGTAAACTGTAAAACAGAACTTTAGAAAAAGTAATACATTTATTTATATAAAAAAACAACCATTTTACACCCAGTTCTCTTGTAACTAAAAGCCTTTGCTGACAAAACCTTTCTTCCTGAATTACAAGCCCACCAACCCCCACTAGTTAAATGTTCTGGCTTACCTCCTTCTGGTGTTTGGAATGTTACTGTGGAACTCTCCGGTCCATCTCCCTTTGTATTATAAGCTGCCACACACAGCTGATATTCACTGAACGGGTGAAGTTTCGGAACTATAGCCCAGTCCCTCCTGCCAGGAAATGATAGAACATGGCGCTGGCCATGGTGGGTTTTTCCATCCTGAAGACTTTTCACTCTCCAGTACATTATCTGAAAAAAATATACAATGAACTGCTTAGAATACTTCATTTTAAACAATGTTGCCAAATGTTGAAGGCAGCATTGCCCAACTTCAACAATAGCAGATTTTTAACTGCTGTTTATTTAGCAGGCAAAATACACTGAAAATATCTTTCTACGCCTACAAATGGACATTTTGCTGCTCAGAGCAGTACACACCACTGCAGCCACCATGTTTTTATCTCAGTGCATCTGCTAAATGCCGAGTTGGACAGGTGACACCACAGGGTTTATTTACTAAAGCTGGAGAGTCCAAAATCAGACTCCCTTCTGCATACAAAACCAATCAGCTTCTAACCTCAGCTTGTTCAATGAAGCTTTGGCAATGAAACCTGGAAGCTGATTGGTTTCTATGCAGAAGGGAGTCTGATTTTGGACTCTCCAGCTTTAGTAAATAAACACCCACCTGTCAAATCTACTGAAACTGATGTCAGCAGGACAGAAAGTGAGGGTAAATCTCTCAAAGGGCTCATTACATTAAGGGATTGCACTATTTTTTCTCCTGAAGAGTGATTCACGGTGGATCACTTTTCAGAGGGCGTTTGATAGGTGTGTTGGATGCGTTATTCACCTCCTCTCCAACTGTATAACCCCTAAAAGTGCACACTGCCACACACAGTTACAGGGGGTTGTGGGATAGGCCCATTGACTTGAATGGGTTGTGTTTGGTGGCCAAAGTAAGTATACAACCCTCTCTGGTTGGGATTGCAGCTTTGGTGGTGGTGATGAGGGTAAAATGCGGCTCCTCCACCTGTTTTGATCCCCCCCATAAATTTAGCCTAATAGAGTGCTTATCCTTTCCCACTTTATTGGAAACTAGAAAAAAAAAGGTTTTGGCTTGACATACACTTTCAAGTGTCACTAAATTATCCAAGTTAAACTAAAAAATATATCCAGCATAGAGAACTCTAATGCTAGGTTCACACCTATGCAGGTTTGCGTTTGAGCTGTTTCTGCATTGCGTTTTTACATGTTTTTGATGCGTTTTGAGTTTTTTTCTCTTTGGTTTATTTTTCTTGTTGCTAGGCAGATTTAAAATGCAAAATACATCAAAAACGCGGCAAAAACGCAATACATGCTTTGCTGCAGCATTTCCATTGAAGTGTATAGAACCAAAATTGCAACTTTTTGCGTTCAAAAAAGTTCCTGACCCTTTCTAAAAAACACACCGGGTGAAAACACACAGGTGTAAACATGTCCCATAGGAAATCATGTTAAATGGACTGTACTGCATTTCTGCAAAATGAAAAATGCTGCATAAAACGCTTAGGTGTGAACTTAGGCTGGCCATACACTATACAATTTTCTTGATAATTTTGCTTTCAGTTGTATCCAATTGGGCAGGCCCTTGCACTACATAGTTGAAGGTAAATCTAAAGGAAATTGGACAGAAAATTGGACAGAAAATTGTATAGTGTATGGCCAGCCTTAGGGTTATACCACATTTTATTGAATGTAAAATATTTCATCCACATTGTTCCTTATGGAAAACATTAGCCCTGCGTGCTCACAAGAGACCCTCTTTTCATACAAATCCCGATCGGCAGTTGCAAACAATGCACATCTAAGTGGTCACACGCACTGCTCTGCTAAAACTACATTTCCTATCCATCAATGCTTTTGCCACTTTTACTGTGCATGTGTCCCTGTTGTTGCATTCCTCTTCCTTGTGGATACCTCTAGAGCCAGTGGGGTTTATTTACTAAAGCTGGAGAGTGCAAAATCAGGTTCACTTTTGCATAGAGACCAATCAGCTTCTAACCCCAGCTTGTTCAATTAACCACTTGCTGTCCAATCACAGTAGATTTACTGTGACCAAATGGCAGCTGCAGGCTCAGCAACATAAAATAAAGTTGTGATTCTGCTTCCGAGTTTGGGGCACGCATGTGCTCCCTGCTGTCCTGTGCTGCGGTTGGACACAGCAGGATTTTGAAAGCAAGTCCTGGCCAATGATTTATGGCCGGGACCTGCTGATTGGCTGTGTCCAATCACAGCTCAGAGCCCTGTGTTTACAAACAACACAGGGCTCTGTACACAGAGCAGCGATTTGGCTGTTTGGCAGATTGCTTGCCACACTATCACGGTCCCACTATAAGTCGTTGATCACCGCCATTACCAGTATAGCATCATAAATGCATAAATTCCAGTAAATATACCATAGTTTGTAGATGCTATAACTTGTGCACAAACTATCTAATGTATAATTTTTTGGATCTTTTTTTACCAAAGACATGTAGCAGAATACATATTGGCCTAAATTTATGAAGAAATGTGATTTTTTTTGGATATGTTTTATAACACAAAGATTTTTTTCCAAATTTTTTTTGTCTTTTTCCATTTATATAATAACAAATAAAAAAACCCCAGTGATGACCAATACCACCAAAAGAAAGACCTATTTTTGTGAAAAAATTATATAAATTTCAGTTGGGTACGGTGTTGCATGACCAAGCAATTGGCAGTTAAAGTAGTGCAGTGCTGAATAGCAAAAAACATTCCATGGCTATGAAGAGGGTAAAACCTTCCAGAGCTCAATTGGTTAAGCTTTGGTATTAAAACCTGGAAGCTGATTGGGTTCTATGCAGAAGTGAGCCTGATTTTGCACTCTCCATCTTTAGTAAATGAAGCCCTGTAGGTAGCCATAGGCAGGGATTTCATCGATAGGCATTCTGTGTTTTTGCCTGCCGATGCTGGATCATGGACATTACTCTAGTCCATGCTGGTGGTGAGCATAGAAAGATGAGAACGTTCCAACATACAGTACAGTACAGTGAATGTAGCCACCCTAAGAAAGTAAGTGGCAGGTGTGGAAGATTGAAAGTTATTTTTATTGATATGCTGGCATACCCTGTCATTATAAGGGATACAGATGGCTTTCAATTAAAATGTTGAATATGTTTTTTTTTAAGGTTTAGTGACATTTAAATTTCACATAAATTTCCAGTAAAGGCTTTTCAATACTAATGTAATTGCAGGTGCAGTTTATATGAAAAGTTTGAAAAAAACAAAGCAAAAACAAAACAAAAACTAAATTTAATAACTCATAGCAGCCAATCAGGTTTCCCTTTCATGTAGTGAGATTACTTTCAGATGGGCATTCCTATTGGGTCCGCCTTTCCGTTTTTCCGATTGGAACCTCCATTCTCCTCTATGGAGTGGTCGACATCCAATCCAATCTGATCCCCAAAAAAGGGACAGTTGGGGATCCAATACCCTCAGATCAGGTTGGATGGAAATGTACAGGCTGTCCATTTTCATCTGACAGCCCATTGAGGAGAGCAAGCAGCTCTGTGTCTGCTCTGCAGCAGCGGAGCAGATATAGAGCTGTCACCTGCTTGCTCAGTGGGGATCGTGGAGAACCACTATACGGGCCGCACTGTGTGAAGAACCCTAAAAGAAGAATTCAGATTGGGTGCTGACAGTTACTACACATCCATTAAGTGGAACTAATCCTTCCTATCAGCTTACAGCCAAGTAGAAGCTGCATCCTAGCCTTTATTTGATCTGTATATCCTCTGCTGAGCAAGCGGATCCACTAAACGGGGCCGCACTGTGTGGAAGAACCCTAAAAGATGAATTCAGATTGGTTGCTGACAGTTACTACACATCCATTAAGTGGAACTAATCCTTCCTATCATTTACAGCCAAGGAAGCTGCCATCCTAGCCTTTATTTGATCTGTAGTTGCCATGGTGCTCACATGTGTTTAGTTGTGACACTAGCCATTTGATAACTGACAGCTTGTTTGAGAGCACAAATAATGCAGGCCATAGACGCGTCAAAAATTTTCGCACTGTTAGTGGGTTAATTGGTCAGCCGTTTTTCGGGTTTTGGCACTTTTTTTTTATTGGTAAAGTTGGAAAAAAATTGGCCGATTTTGCCGATCGCCCGATTTCCCGGCAATGATGGGCAAATCGGCCGATCATTTTACCGATAAAAAAATCTGCGCATGAGCCGTGACCTGCAAGAAGAAGAAAAAGAAGAAGAAAAACAGAAGATGAAAAAGAATTCCAGTCCTCTATTACATTTGACATGAAAAAGTATTGTGGTTGCAACAAAAGTATCTATTTGTATCTGAATAAAAACATCTGTATCTGAAATGGATACAAATGGATACATTGTTGCAACCACAATACTTTTTCATGTCAAATATAATAGTGGAGCTCTCTGCAAGGAACAGAAGTAATTAAATGCTGGCTGTAGACAGGACGAAAATCGGCTGATTTTTTTTACCATTGGTGGTAACATCGGCCTATTGAACATTTTTCATTTTTTTTAAAAACGGCCGGTTTTCGACCCGTCTATGGCCTGCATAACTGTGACTGTTATTCATGGCATGTTTTGAATGTAACTGTGTTAATAAACAGTTAAATTGATGGGTTTAGTTCAGGGTGGATAAAATCAATGATTTTTAAAAAAAAAAAAAAAAAAATCAGATTTTTTTGATGTAAATCAGATTTTATTTAAATCAGATTGTTTTTATTTAAATCGGATTTTTTTTAAATAAAATGCTTTTTGAGGAAAATATATTACCATCCAAAGGTTATTCCATCATGAAATAAAGATTAGTTTTTTAATTATGTAGAATAAGGCTGTATATGTTTATTTTTTTGGGTAAATAAATTCCATTAATCCATTCACAATGTCATGCTCTTCCAGAGGTTTTTGTAAGATTATTGGGCAGTTTCTCTGCCTACAAGATATTATCACAGATGCTTGGTTTACTTTGCAGTTCTCAAAACTAAATTTGACTCAGCAGAGATCACATGCCTCTTCTTCACAGCAAAAATGTTATAACATGAACAGAGTTAAGAAAAAGACCTTAATCCTAACTTCTACAAACCTATGAATACAGAATCAACCCCTTCAGTGCTAAATTTCAAAAAGTTCAGTGAATAGAATAGAAACAATATTTTTCTGATTGTTTGGAGTGGAATATATCTGCACAAGAAGAAAGTGAACTAAGTGTGAGGAGGAAGGGGCTGACAGTCTAAGTTTCTTAAAATATATATATTTTGTTTAGCCAAATTAGTTAACAAACATGGATGTTTGTTTAAGCAAATAACATATGCTGTAATGTTATTGTTTCAGTTGAATAAATCTATTTAAATTGTTATTATTAAGGTAATGATTATTTTTCTCCTTCCTAAGTACAACAGAAAAGTTGTCCAAATATTTATTTATTTATCGAGTTTATATAGCGCCAAAGGGTTTACTCAGCGCTGTACAATACAGGGGGGGCAATACATGAAACAGAACAGCAACATCAAACAGCACACGAGGGGTTAGAGGGCCCTACTCTTTCGAGCTTACAATCTAGGAGGGAGGGGGTAGAGGCACAGGAGGAAACGGCTGTGGGATAAAAAAACTATTATGAAAAGTTGTTATTCTAAAAATCTTCATCTACTTGCATATTAAAGTTATACCAGCAAGATTTAGTCTTTATGTAGAAAACTATGATTTAAATCAAGCCTTACTGACTAGTGATTTAAATCGTGATTTAAATCGTGATTTAAATCAGTTTGATTTAAATCAAATCCACCCTGGTTTAGTTTGGTTTTAAGGCTTATTAAATAAGCCTTTGGAGGGAATTAACAAAGAGCGGTGGAAGCATAATACTTGCATCACTCTTCTAAACATAAAAAAATTCCCCTTTGTTAATTAGGGGTGATCAGTTCTCTGTTCTGCTGTGGTGTTACACTCATGGCACCTGTGCCTGTACACCTCCGGCCCCCCCCCCCCCCCCCCCTGCACTCCCCACTTAGCTCAAAGTTGTCAACCCTCCCCCCCCCCCCCCCCCCCCTGCACAAGCAGAGAAAAGGATGTGAGCTATCTGCTGAAACAACTGTTTAGTTAATTTGATACACACCACTCCTGACAGTTTCCCGCACCTCTAATGATGCAGGAAGCTTAGTTAATTCCCCAGTTAGTGTTTTGAACAACCACAAACACAAACAGTACCAGCACTGAAAAATAAAATCACATCAGGGTGCTGATAGCATGGTATGCTTTATGGTATAATGTCTCAGTCTACAATAATGCGGCTGAACTGGACCTGGAATATGCAAGAAATGAGTAGTTTTCCTAGGGAAGTGTACTCTTGAATGATTTTGTACTCTTCACCATAAGAATCTACAAATGTACTTCATGTTTACAGAGTGTGCCCAAGATGGCTCTCTCATCTACCAAAAATGCTTTGATTCTCCAGGGAGAAAACCGCGATAAAAACACAAAATTAATTTGAAAAAGTTTACAGTAATAATAAAAGCAGATTATTCCAAAGGACTTATATGAGCAACTTGAGCACAGTAATATATGAATCCTGGTGTAAGATTGTTCTTTCTACACAATAAATGTATCTTTATTTGCAATATTCAAATGGTGATGCGACCCCCCCCCCTTTTCTTTTGTACCCTCTGTTACCTTGTAACCTGCCAGATGTCCTCTTACTCTGTCCTGAGAGATTTCCATCCAGGTCACGTTAGCTATGGACTGATTTACCATGCTCACCGACACATTAAACGGAGCTGCATCAGGATCTGTGTGGACATAATGTGAACACAATAAATGCTTTTTTTTGTACACTTTAACATGTATGTTCTGTGATAGTGAGACCTGATAGTACCTTTTTGTGTTGTTTATAAGGGAAAAACAAATGCCATATTATCAATCAGAAGATTTCCCCAGATACCGTATAATCACAGAAAATGGATGATTTTGCCCATTCTAAAGCTAAAAAAAGAAAAAAATCTTAAATCTAGAAAAACTGAACTCTCAGCCAATGTCTCTCAGCTGGCAAATGATCTGCTGACAAGACCTGTGCTTGTAATCCCGCTTGATTAAATACCATTGAGACTGGGTTCACATATATGCGTTCCGGTATATCACATGTGATTCGCACAGGAACTGCACCGCATTCCTGTGCAAATCACATGCGATTTGCATGCGGTGTGATTGGAGCCATACATTTTGTACATGGCTCTAATCCCACCGCACCTGCACCAAAAATGTGCAGGACCCTTTTTTCGGTCCACACTAGAATCGGATCACATGGGTATTCACACCTATGCGATCTGATTCTGCACACCGCATTTTGCAGACCACTTTTGGAGTGTTAACTTAACATACACACACGCAGAGCGGTTCGCATGAATGGGGTGCCATACTGATGCGGTACGGAATTTGCACATAAAACGCTGTGAATTCCGCACCGCATCAGTGTGAACCAGGACTGAAGATCCAGTTAATTTCTAGACCATTAACATTGTATTCCGTCTTAAAGGAGAAGTTCACCTTTTAGACAAAAATAACAAATGCACATTTTTTTGCAAGTTAAAAAAATGTGCATTTATTATTTTTGTCTACAGCATTGCACCAGCAATCAGTAGATCACTGATGCCATGCAGATCTCCTGCAGACCTGTCAGAATATCTGCTTGCCATAGGGGATGTATGAGCAAGCAGATATTCTGACAGGAAGCTTCAATGAACTACCACGGCGTCCACAGTGCTCCATGGTGCCATGGTAGTTCATTGAAAACTGCAAGCCCACAGCCGCTCAGGTAGGGTTGCTACCTCATCCCTTTAAAACCGAACACATATTAATTACACAGGTTCTGTGGCTGATTAAGGTGGTAATTAAACTCACCTAGTGCCTTATCTGCATTAAATTAACCTCAGATTCTGTGTAATTAATATGTGTTCGGTTTTAAGGCTAGGTTCACATCTGTGCGGGTGGTGCCGCTGTGTGAGACCGCACACACAGAAGAATGCGGACCCGTGGGCTGGTGCCATTAATTCTAATGGCATGCTGCCCGCGCTGGAAATCGCAAGCGCACTGAGAACCAAGGTTCCCGTGCGGGCTGCGGTTTCCAAAGAAGTGCAGGGACCTCTTCCCTGTGTCCTGGGGCACGGGAGTCCATTCAAATGAATGGGCTCTCATGCCCTGCAAAACGTGGCCCACAGGAACACGGATATGTGAACTCGGGGTAAAGGGATGAGGTGGCAACCCAACTGTCAGGACTTCATTCATTCAGGGAGTTCATTCATTCAGGGAAGCCAGAGGACTGTGAATGAGTGACTTGGCTGGGTGAGCGGAGCACCGCCCAGCAACATTTTTTTTCAATTTGACAGCTAGCGAGGGGGGAGAAGATCCCCCGCTAGCTGGGAGTATTACACCCTGAATATAGGTGTAACACAGGGGCGGACTGACCATTTGGAAACTTGGTCACTGCCCGAGGGCCCGGGGTCAGTAGGGGGCCCCATGAGATGCCCCTGGTACCTTTCATAGGCTTTTTTGGGTGTAGTTTGAGTGTGGGCTAAAACACAGGGGCCCATGATACCCTATTGCCCGGGGGCCCCATGAGTTGTGAGTCCGCTCCTGGTGTAACATGTTATGAAAGATGAACTTATCCTTTAAGTCTTAAGTTATTACTAAAACCAGTAATAATCGAATGCAGAGGCAATTATTTCATATGATAAAGAGTAGATACATTTATACAGTCTTACAGATGCAACCGGAGAGCAACCATCATGCTGATGAAATGGAGTCCGACGCCTGTGCACTACAGCCTACAACTCCAGAACTTCAGGAGGTGCAAGAGGAACCCCTTCATTTACTCAGCCACTACCAAGCATGTGATAGTTCAGTTGAGAGCACAAGCAACTGTGAGAGTCATCATTCATGGCATGTCCTGAATGTAACTGTTTTGGAAATCAGTCAAATCTATAAATTTAATTCCACTTTAAAGTTACCTCTACACTATTGGTGCTCTCTCTATCCTAACTTTTGTTTCAGGACAGCAATTGTGTAAACTCTGAAGCATGGTATCAGCTGCTTTTTTCAGCAATGTTCCAACCTCCATAATTCCCTGATATAGGTTTCCTTTAACTTCTGCATTCAACATTACTTACTATTGTGATGTTACTCCTATGGTGCCAAGGACTTAGTCCTGACCTACACTGTGCACAATTTATTCTACAGCCCACACTGCCAGTTCATTTATATATTACAGAAATGTACATAGCGCTGCCAATGTAAGCTGTGCTCTACATAGACTGTAGCTTACAATCCAATCCCTACCTCCAATATATACATACTAAGGCCAATTTACTTACCAGCATGTCTTCGGAATGTGGGAGGAAACCCACGCAGCACATGAAGAGAACATGCAAACTCCATGCTGTGCTGCCCACATTGGCTCTACTTCAGTGAACTATAGCAACTATTTTGTATTGCTTCATAAGAGTGAAGGCATTGGAAGCAGAGGAGCTGTTAGCTTACTGTCCAGTTGTATGAATAATGGCATCAGATTTTTAAAGTGAATAAAATACTGAGCATGGCTGATTCAACAGAGTCTTAAGAATTGTGCAAAGTAATAAATCCAACAGTGTACAATTATTGAGCATATTGTAGACAGCAATATTTTTAAGGTCATTGGCCGATACTCACTGTCCTCTCCTGAATATACAGTATGAACTTCAGGTTCAGGGCCACTTCCAATATTATTGACAGCTTGGATGTATAGCTGATATGGGACAAACGCCGGTGTGTCCTTTATAATGAATTGGGGATGTTTCAGTTTTCTGTGATGCCATTCAGTCTCCACTCCCTTCAGGCGCCAACTGACTTGGTACTCCAGTCCAGGCCCGTTATGTTCATCAGAATTTAGAGGCTGCAACAACCAATAAGAAAAGCAGATTGCAGACAGATAGTAGGCTGTGTAAGAACACTGTCAAAAGAAAACACTAAAGCTGAACGCCAAGCAGAAGTAAGGGCTCAATCACATCTGTGACTATTATTACCACCCCTCTGCAGTGGATTGCTTTTCAGAAGGCGTTTGACAGGAGATGAGGAGGTGATATGCCACATCTCTTGAATGCCTGTTTTAACCTTCAAAATGGCGACCCATCATGCTGCAGCCACACATGCTATGCATTGCACATGGTTGAGGCACAGCCTCATTCACTTGAGTGAATGGTGTTGAGTGGCAGTGCCACCCTCTAAATGTGACATGCCATTTAAATTTGCAGCATGTGTATAGCCCTGAATGGCTGCAATTCTGTGTTGAGGATGGTGGTTGGGGGTTGGGGGAGGGGGGCGGGCAGCGGAGACAGTAAAACTTTAATTCAACCACCTGCTTTTACCACCCACTGGCTGCCTGTGTGAACAAGCCCTTGGAGACCAGAATGAATGCAGCTCTGTAGTCATTAAGGATAAGTTCACCTTACTTGTTTTACCCATTTTTAGGGTGGAACATGTAACATATTCCAGCATCTGCAGACTCTCCCCCCATGACAGTGAACTAGGAATCTTCTCCCCACACCCACTGTCACAATCTGAAAATAATGCAGGCGAGCAGGGCTCCACCCACATAAATGACGCTTTTTTTTTTTAGTGAATTGACTACTTTTGAGATAAATAGTGGTATTTTAACTCAAAAATTCATGTGGTATTTATCTCTTAGTGAATTGACCCCAATGTATGTTACAAAGTGTAGCTCTGTTCAGCACCACTTTAAAGCGGAGCTCCACCCAAAAGGGGAAATTCTGCTTTAAGGATTGGTCTCCCGCTCCCTGTTAAGAATTGGCACCCTTGGGGAGCGGGTACCCGAAATTGACAGGTACCCACTCCCACTGCTGCTGCGATAGCCTAGGCTGTTGGAAGTGGAATTTGTCCTCCCTCCCTGTAGTCTTCTGGGACACGTGACAGGTCCCAGAAGACTACAAGACCATCCAGAAAGCGCAGTGCTACTTGCGCATGTGCAGTAGGCACCTGACTGTTAAGCCACAAGCTGGCACAGCCAGGTGCCCACACTGAAGATGCCGGTGCTGGGAACATAGGATGGCCAGTGAAACAGGCTGCGGGGAGGACACAGCGGGATCTAGGGACAGGTGAGTGGCTGTTTTTTAAAAGTTAAAATGTTTATTTTTTACAGTTTGACTGGAACCCCGCTTTAGGATCTTACCTCCCATTTCACAGACATTTCATCAGGACTGTCAGTGTTAAAGTACACCACATTAGGATTCTTGTCTGGAGCTGGAACATAAACAAATCAAAAGCACTGCTTAATAAATTTTGATTATAATGCCTAGAAGTATAAACCGTATATGTCAGCTCACGGAGAACGAGGATTAACATAACTTAATCCTCGTTCTCCATGAGCTGGCATATACGGTTTCTTCCTGCATATATTGGGGAGCAGTATTTGTACGGGTCTTGCACTATCGAGTTGTTTATATCTGTCCTTGTGAGCCAGTGTACACAGTTTCTTGCATATATGAGAGAGCACTATACCCAGGGCTCTTTGTAATATTGATGGGATGAATGACGGAATTGGACATATTTGTCTTCTAAGCCCTATACTACATTTACTGTGTTAATATAAAGAGGAAATGCAATAAGATCTGGATACTGAGATATTCCATGTGCCCCGTGGTGTGGTCGTAGTGGTCTGTATACCCAATTGGATATATTTGTCTTTGAAAGTCCCATATTATTGTGCTAATACGAAGAGGAAATACAATATTGCACGTTTATTTTTTGGTACTATTTAAGCCTTCAAAGTCCCAAGTCCTAGGGTGTCCCTCCTTCTTCATCTAATTGTTATTTTGGGGATGATGGCTTACAATCAGGAATTTTCCCTCTTTTCCTTAGAAGTATGATATGAAGTATACTGTATCGTATACCTAATTGTTATAAGGTAAATGTACACTAACAGTGTTGGTTGATTTAGTTATTTATTCACTATTTTGTTTGTATTTTTCTACCCTGTGAGTATTTTCATTAACTAGAAAATTCTAGTTGTTATGCAGCATTTAAAGGATCAAGTTCACCTTTTGGAACATGTTACATGTTCCACCCATTTTTTAGGGTGGAACATGTAACATGTTCCTACTGCTGCAGCCGCTGCACAATCCCCTCCTCCCTGTGACAGCAGTACAGGGAGAAGTTCACCATACTAGCTGTCAGTTTTTGAAAGCAGCGCAGCTGCCCAAACAGCTGTGTCATTCATTCACAAAGTTCTGTGAATGAATGAACTACAAGTACCGACATTCTTTGCAGCTGTTGACTTGTAGTTTTCAATGAACTACCAAGACACTGTGGAGCTCTGTTTTAGTTTGTTCAGTCTTCCTGTCAGTGTTAACTGTCTGCTGACAGTCTGCTGGAGACCTGCATGGCACCAGGGATCTGCTGATTGCTGGTGCAATGCTTTACAGGCTCCAAAAAAATTATAAATGCACATTTTTTTACCTCCAAAAAAATTTGCATTTATTGTTATTATTTTTTTAAAGTGAACATATCCTTTAGCTGAAAGTAATTTTGACATGACTTTTTGCTTTTCTTGCAGGTCTGTAAGTTAAGTACTATATTTTATTCAGTACATAGATTTCTGTATGTTTCCTCCAGTAATCATCTGTATATAAATGAATGTGCTTAGCATCCTTATTTGATGACTGCTGGGAGATGCTCGGTCAGGCTTGAAGAGACTCTTTACCCATTCATGGTAAAGAGTCTCTTGCTAGTCCACCCCATCCCATCCATGCTCATCTTTCACATGCACCCATCCAGGAGTCAAACACCATCTAAGCTCCATATTGGATGGTGTCAGAGCTTACATAGCTTTGACAGTGTTATCCTCATATGACAGTGCAGCCAATTGCCAAACACAAACACTGCATTATGGGAGGGGAATCACATATTCCCCCATAATTAGAAGCATTTGATATCTACATTAGACATTGCATTACTCCCAACACAGCAGCAGGGGAACCATGCATAGGTGAGTATACGTTGGTTAATGTGGACTAGTAAGAAACTGCCAATTTGCCTTAAGAGTACATGGGGGTTAAGTCTTTGTAAGCTAGCCATAAACAGATATTTGCCTGAGGGTAAGAGGCTGGGAAACCTTTGCCCACTGTTAATCATGAAACACATCCATATGGACTAATGTAGGGTGAACACAGTCAACACCTTTCTTCATGCTTCCCTTTGACAGTTGGACTTTGAAGTCTTGTTTGTTGCCTATGGACTGTCCCTCAGCTTTAAGACATGCCCCAGCCAACCAATCTCAAACAAAAAATGATTAACCTGGGATGGGTTTTCTAGAATTAACCCCATGTTCCCTAGAAATAAGACTGGGCAATGGGTGGTTGGTCTGCATATGGCATAAACACTGGTACCATAATGTATCTTGATCCCAGGACCATTTATGTAAAGATCACATGGATGTTGCATTTGTCCACTGCCAAATCTAAACAGCAAGCATATGCCTCGGCTAAATTCCAGTTAGAAAGATGAAGAAGCAAAATGCAAATAGCCACTTGTGCTCATTGGGAATTGCAAGTTAAAATGTTTACCTGCTGGTGGTGTGCTGTAAATCTCAGATGCAACACTTGGAGCACTTTTTCCGATTCCATTTACAGCAAGCACACGAAACTGGTAGTTAAAATAAGGACTGAGATATAATTGGACTGTGGTGACATTTCCCGGGACAGTGGTTTCATCCTCCCATTGTCCTGCCTCTTCCATACTCTTTACTGACTGGATGAGGAACTCTGTGAGAAGAAAGATCATAGTTATCAGTAAGCTGTAAATTCTCTGCTGTCCAAAATGTTGAAAATCTCTCAGAATAGAATTATGGCAGCTGCCTTTGTTGACTTGTTTTTTACATTACTAAAGTTGTGCCTTCCTTTGTGAGCCATTAACCTAGAACAGAATAAGGATAAATACGCCAGTCTGAGATAAATATGGAGATTACCATTGCTGATGACTCCCTCTTTCTCAAAACTTAAAGCTGAATTCAACTCCCAAAAGGGAGCTAGTTCTGCTTTAACAACCCCCCCTATATTTCGCCTATTTTTTTAAATTTCTAAAATTGTTAGAACTGACTTCCACTGCCATTCTATCCTAGGCCAGAATGCCATGTACCTGGTCCTGCAGCCTCCTGGGATCCTGTGTGTGCAGGATCAGCACACACAGCTTGGGGGGGGGGGGGGGGCGGGGTAGGTCTGGCACGTCATCAAACCCAGAAGAGGCATTCAGCTGAAGAGTACCAAGATGGTACCTGAACAACATATCAACATATTTCAGTAAGACAATGCTGGATTTGCTGTGCAGGTGAGTATGTGCTCTGAAGAACACTATAGGTAAGTGGGAAAAAATATGGGGGTGGGGGAATTGAGTACCTCTTAACTCTTGCAAGGAAAGGCAATGTATAACTTTACAGAACTTCAAATACTATGGATCTACTGAATGTTCTGCCATGGTTTACACTAAATGTATTGTTAATCTATGCATTTAGTCATTGTGGACTCAATTGCCAAGGTATGTGACAAATTTACTTTAAGTCTGACATCTTTGAATATAATTGCTTAAAAGTTACTGTAGAGCCTTGGTGCTCAGCCTACGATTCTTTATCAGTTTTTATGTGGTCCTTCAGGCCCATGCAGACAGTTATATGTGTTTTCCTTATGTCTCTCACTGTATTTTACTTTTTTCTGTGCTGTTCATCTCTCTTCTTCTTTTGTTCCTATAATTATGCTGAAATAGTGAACGTGGCACAAATCATTTTTAAGGGAGCTGCAAGGAGCCTTGCCATGGAGCTGTGGGTTTCTATCGGTGCACACAGTGGAGGGTAATGCAGTTATAGTCCCTGTGTGAGATGGGGAAACAGCTCTCATTGTTTGAACACTGTGTGGAAGTAAATTAATGTTTTGACTGACATTCTGCGGTTTAGCCACAAGATATCACTGTTTTTCTAACACAGGCTCAGACTGCATAGATTTTTGTATATTCATGAAGAGGTGGGGTTTTGCACTCATAGTAGAAGATAAGTGAACAGGAAGAGGAGATGGCAGCCATGTTTTGGACGATGCTGAACGAAGGGGCCATGTGAGCTGAGTGAAGCTGTTGAGATTGCTGCCAGGAATGCTGGTGAGATTGCTGCAAGGAATGCTGGTGAGATTGCTGCCAGGAAGCTGATGAGATTGCTGCCAGGAATGCTGATGAGATTGCTGCCAGGAAGGCTGATGAGAGCAGAGGAACTAAACAACATATACGGCAAGACCGCATGCTTGTTGGAGAGACATTTGTTCTGTTCAGAGTCACCAGCGCATACAAAGCAGACCTGGGTTGGTAAGATCGGGCACGCACCTCATTTCAGTGTTGGCGTCTTGAGACTAAGTCCAGGCCTATAGTTAGTTAGTTAGGGTCTCTGTTTGTGTCAGGCCACAAGTGTTGTTACTGATTATTGGAAGGACTCCACAACTTAAAGTGACATTTCACATTGGAGAGCTGATAAAATCCCACAAACTCAAGCCAGACTGGCGTTTTGGTCAGAAGGAATACTCAGGCACGTGCTACAGGACCAGTTATGGGAGAGGGAATACTGTAGAGTTGTGCAAGATTGTAAGCTGTTGTGCTGCACCGCAGGCTAGCCCATACCATACACCCATACACTCATTCCTGCTCTTTTAGGGTAATAACAGGTAAGGTGTGGCAGCTTATTTGTACCCGCCAGTAGGTAAATTACTTCACTTTCTACCTTCATCCATCAGAAGGCGCCGTGCTGTGCAGCACAAGGTCTCAGCCTTTGGGCTGGGTGTATGTAAATTTATTGTATGTTTCCAGCATTTGTGGTTGTGTTTATTTGCCACATCTAAGTAAAATTCTGTTGTGGCAAAAGCTTGTGTTGGGGTTGCTTTCCTCGTTCGTGACTTCACTGTATCCTGGAGAGCCCAACCCGGTACATGGCTTACAACTGCATGCAAAGGTGACTCCATAGGATGCTGAATGAGAAAGAAGCCACCTGAAACAGGAAACCTGGAGCAGAGGTCATGACACCAGCGTGAACTGGAACACTTGCAAGGTTTAAAAGAAAAAGAAGCTGCATACTCTGTAAGTGACTAAACCAGCTTCTGAAAATGCTTAAAAAAAACATGGGTTTAATATCACTTTAATATAAAATGAGCTAAATGTCTAGCAGAGAAAGTGAGACTATTCAGCTAATTTAGAAAAGGAGTCCTACATGTTCATTTTTCTAGTTGAGTTTTCACTTGCAAGGGAATTTTCACTTACCTTAGTAAACGTGATGAAAATTTACTTTGAAAAGAATACTAGATCATGCACAGGGAAAATGTTAAAAAACAGGATTTTTGCATGGACATGATTTAACGACTGAAGTCACAACTTCGCCTCATTCAATAAGCTGAACGAATCTTTAATTTTCTCTTTGCAGAGCAAATTTTCACATATCTTAGCGAATGAGATGAGGTTGTGCTGATGTCAGTTATGTTCCATTCCTTTAGTAAATCAATCCTATTGGTCTGCACCGAGGCAGTATGGAGGTGATTATTGCTGATCTCGAAGTCCTCATGCACACTGGACATTTTTACAGCGGCTGTTTTGGGATTTTGACATTTTTCCTACAGCTAGTAACCACACCAGCATGTTATCCTATGTGTCCATGCACACATAGACTTTAATCAACGTTTTTTGGCAGGGACATTTTTTGGCTGGACTAGTGGGTTTCTAGAGGAGTTTTTTAGCTGTAAAAACACTCCAATGCAGAAAAAAAAAAAACAGCAAAACCCAGTAAAATCGTGGTAAATCAGCATTTTTGTGAACCTAAAAATACTAAAAAACGCAAACGTGAAAAAATGCAGCAAAACGCAGCTAAACACTAATACAAAAACACTGAAAAACTCACATTTTTAATGTGACTATACACAGCTAATGTTACCAGCGTTACTGAAACGCCCGTGTGCATGGAGCCTAATTCAAAAATGGAAAGCTGCCTCTCTGTCAGACTAATGCAGCAGCTTTCCTACTTTTGGTCACTGACCTAGAACAAGTATGCAAAACAGAAATTCCAACTTCACTCTGGCTTTTTTCACCCTTCACTCTTGTTCCAGGTCAGTGACTCAGAAAGTATTGCAGCTAAAGACAGCCAGGCAACTAGCATTTTTAGAGGATAGTCAGCTAAAGTAACTTTATATCCCCTTCATCATAGGTTTCCTTAAATGGGCACTTGTCAGAGAGATCCCACTATTAGAATTCTTTAGATACTTCAGAAAGAGATACTGTATTTTGACTTTTGATTTGGAATTTTGATAATTTTGGGGTGGACTGACCCTTTTATCTATCTATGCAGACTGACAGACTTGCACTAACCAAAGCACTAAATTGCAATAATAGTAGCACTGCAAAGCAATATGCACAGCCTGTGTATGTAATGTAGAGATCCAAGAAGTCAGCTACTGAACCAAATTGCCAGCAATCAAGCTAAACTAAAACTAGCCATTAAGAGAAGATGACAGACCTGTGATGGGGCTGTTGTGACTGTCTCCTGCTGTCCATGACAACAAAACACTACGTTCATGCTTTTCCAAAAGACGCAGATCTTCAGGAGGCATTGGAACGTCTGAAATAAAAATAAATTGAATTATTGATAAGGTTAAGAATGTATGTACTGTACATATGAGTTGGTCATACATGTGTTTAACTCTAATTGAATTTTATGTATGATTGAAGACCTGTTTTGCTTATGTTCATTAGAATTATTTCACACATGAGCTTGCCTCCAGACAGAAAATGCTATTTATTTTTCTAATGGCCATTCCTTAGATAAAAAGTTAAATTGTAACTTTATTCAGACCAATATTCAGAGGTGCATTTAGGATCTAGTGTTGAGCTTGGTCCGGACCCAAGTTCATCTGAATCTGGAAGCATTGGTGGGGCAATAATTTTCAGGTGAGAGATTCCCTATCCCACAACTGACGTATACAAAGGAGTGGGGATGCTTCATTGACCCAAAATGGGCATACAGTACATCCAGAAAGTATTCATAGTGCTTAACTTTTGCCACATTATGTTATGTTATAGCCTTATTCCAAAATGGATTAAATTCATTTTTTCCTCAACATTCTACAAACAATACCCCATGATGACAATGTGAAAGAAGTTAATTTTGAAATCTTTGCAGTTTATTAACAATAAAAAATGAAAAAAACTACATGTACATAAGTATTCACAGCCTTTGCTCAATACTTTGTTGAAGCACTTTTAGCACCAATTACAGCCTCAAGTCGTTTTGAGTATGATGCTACAAGCTTGGCACACCTATTTTTGGGCAATTTCTCCCATTCTTCTTTGCAGTACGTCTCAAGCTCCGATTGTAAGCTCTAAGGAGCAGGGCCCTCCTAACCCTCTTGTATTGAACTGTATTGTTGTTGTATTGTCTCACGTTATATTGTAAAGCACTGAGCAAACTGTTGGCACTATATAAATCCTGTATAATAATAATAAAAAAAGGTTGGGTGGGGAGTGTCGGTGCACAGCCATTCTCAGATCTCTCCAGAGATGTTCAGTTTGGTTCAAGTCTGGGCTCTGGCTGGGCCACTCCAAGACATTCACAGAGATGGCCTGTAGCCACTCCTTTATTATGTGGGCTGTGTGCTTAGGGTTGTTGTCCTGTTGAAAGATGAACCGTTGCCCCAGTCTAAGGTCCTCTCACCCTCATTTACTAAGCCCTGGAGCAACTGCACTTGCAAAGTGCACAATCTGACTTATTATTATTATTACATCGAGTTTATATAGCGCCAAAGGGTTTGCTCAGCGCTGTACAATAGAGGGGGGACAATGCATGGCACAGTACAACAATAACAAACAACGTACGAGGGGTAAGAGGGCCCTACTCTTTCGAGCTTACAATCTAGGAGGGAGGGGGTAATGGTACAGTAGGAAGTGGCTGAGGGGAATGAGGGGTGGGAGGAAAGAGGGAGAATGGCCGTTAGGTGAGAATGGGGTAGGCTTCCCTGAAGAGATGGGTTTTGAGGGAGCACCTGAATGTGAGGAGGGAAGGCGTCAGTCTGATGGATTGGGGCAGTGAGTTCCAGAGGATGGGGGAGGACCTGGAGAAGTCTTGCAGTCGTGCATGGGAGGAGGAGACCAGGGAGCAGGATAGAAGGAGGTCCTGTGAGGAGCGAAGGGTACGGGTACGGCGGTACTTGGGGATCAGGTTGGTGAGGTAGTCAGGGGCAGTGTTGTGAACGGCTTTGTAGGTCAGGGTTAGAAGTTTAAATTTGATGCGTTGGGCAATCGGGAGCCAGTGGAGGGAGAGGCAGAGGGGGGTGGCAGAGGTGGAGCGGGTGGTGAGGTGGATGAGTCTAGCCGCTGAGTTCAGGATGGTCTGGAGCGGGGAGAGCCTGCACTTGGGTAGGCCGGTGAGAAGAGAATTGCAGTAGTCAAGGCGTGAGATGATGAGGGGAGTGTACTAGAAGTTTGGTGGTGTCAGGGGTGAGGAAGGTACGTATCTTGGCAATGTTGCGGAGGTGGAGCCTGCATGTGTTTGTAAGTGATTTGACATGAGGTTGGAAGGAGAGGTTCGAGTCAAGAATGACGCCAAGGACTTTGGCTTGCGGGGCGGGAATAATAGTGGAGTTGTTGGTGATGATGGATAGATGGATAGGATGGGGGGGGGGGGGGGGTGGGCAGGGGGAAAGATGAGGAGCTCGGTTTTGGAGAGGTTGAGCTTGAGAAAATGTAGCGACATCCAGTCTGAGATGTCGTTTAGGAGGTGAGTGATACGGGCGGAGATAGTGGGGGTGAGGAGAGGGATGGAGAGGTAGATTTGGGTGTCGTCTTACTTACTTTAAATCAACCACAGAAAGTATTTGGCTTTAGGTGGTTGAAAATTATTCAGTAAACTAAAAATAGTGAGACCACTGAAGCTTCCATCCATAGAATTCACTAACAAGACAGTGTAGACTTTTTAACATCACAATAATTAAAAAAAAGTTGAATAGTAGACTGCCCACCCAGTTAGTGAAAACTTAAAAAATATGACAATCCAATTCACACTCCCATCTGTTAGTTCATTTGCGAAAGAGACTTAAAGTGGAACTTCATTCTCTCAAATAACATTGACTATTTTGAATACTTATGTTGCTAGAATTAGTAAATAAATAGGAAACTTGTTTTGAACAGTTTTTTACATTTTGTTCAATTACTTTCTAGTTTCCATACCTAGGCAAATGATGTCAAACATCCCAGGAGTCTTCAGGAAGGGAGGAGGGTTTTTTCACATATGCACACTCTCCTGCCTGTATACCTAAGTTAAGGGCAGATGGATTCCAGGAAGTAAATGCTATATGAATCATCTGCCCTTACTCAAGATGGCCACGGCCAGAAATGCTAGCAAGTGTTTTTCTCAGCAAAATAAAGGAAGAAGACATGGATGGGTGAGTTTGCTTTGAATTATAAAAATGAATTAAATTGTGTTTTTGGTTTGTTGTGCTCAGATACAGTGTAGTTCTGCTTTATTCTGTGGATTTCATGCCAAGAACTTCCTAGTTTTATTGTAAATACATCACAAAATTTGAAAATTTGTTGTAAATGTTTTCTAAAGAGAATAACACAATACCAGACACTACACATCAGAAGTAAGATACAGTACGCACCCCTCACAGTCACATGGGCTTCTGCTGTCATTGTATCCAGCAAGGTGCTTACAATGCAATAATAGGTTCCTGCATCATCCCAGCTTACATTGTAGATTGTCAAAATGTTTGATTTCACATGTATTCTGCAGCAGGGAAGTAAGAAAAGGTATAGTCATCATTTCCTTATTAGCTTTCTATAATTAATTAAAGTACTTCTTTGCTGTATAAATCTGTATTGTACCTTATTAAATTAAAACAAGTAGCAATGGTCAGCAATAATCCACAACTAACAACACTTAGAATTGATCTTTCAGAAACAAAAAAGGTTAATTTAAGTGAATCTAAATCCATTTTCTGTCTGTTTTTTTCCCAGCTGGAGAGATTCACCCTCTATGTGTACTGGCGACCACCAAAAGGTGAATGGAAAATGAAAATGTTATAGTTGTCACTTGTACAGAAGATGAGGGAAAATCTTCCAATCTTTGGTTCTTCCAGTGAATACTGTTGTAGAAATAATTTTTTTTCTCATTTTGGAAAGATTTGTTGTGTCTTTGGGACAGGAAATAAGGAGAAAATTTCCAAAAGGACTAAAATACAGTTTTAGCTTTAGATGTGCTTTAAAGGTGATTTCTGGATGCTGAAGCTAACTGTACATCAATGCTGATAACTCTATTGTAGGGGAGTCAAACTGGCGGCCCTTCAGCTGTTGCAAAACTACAAGTCCCATCATGCCTCTGCCTTTGGGAGTCATGCTTGTAACTGTCAATTTTGCAGTGCCTCATGGGACTTGTAGTTTGGCAACAGCTGGAGGGCTGCAAGTTTGACACCCGTGCTCTATTGTATTACAAAAGAACTGTTTTTAAAATACCGTAACATTGTACATGATCTCACAAAGGTAAACACATATTGAAGCATAAACAATAATTTCATTACAGCAGTGTTAATATTTGTGGAATTTGTACCACTGATAGTACTTTGCCCACTGTAGATGATAATTAGTAGGACCTAGAACCCCTATGAAGCACAATTTGGTCACTCCAGGTCATAGGGTCAGTTTTCTTTTCTTTTTTTTTTCAATCTGCAGTGGTGAGAACAAACGAAAACCCTGTAAGTGTCCAAAAAATGTGCAAGTGCAAAACCCCCACAAAAAAGTGCAAAACCTGGGGAGCAAGGCTCCTGACAGGGACAAGGTTTCCAATTTGATCAACCTACCCAAAAGACCTGGCAGACCCCTTTCCTTGTGGCCAGCCAAAGCTGACCACCAAGTACTAGGTCAAGGGGTTCTCCCAAAGGAAGGCCGCCAAGTTTGGGGTAGAAAGGAACATGAGAGCCACATATCCCCCCCCTAGGCATTAAGGCAGGCTTGAGGACTCACACCCTCCATCCAGATGTGAAAAATCCACACACATAAATGAAAGGTGACAAACACAGAGAAAAATAAGTAAAAATAAATAAATGTGGCCATGCAAATGTGCACTGGCTAGGCCCTGAGGCCTGGTAGCAAAAATTGCCCCAGACTTAGCCAAAAGGCATAGCCCTAAAAGGTGCAGTGCAGAAGAACAATTTTTGGACCGTGACCATATGTGCTGTTCACATTGTGGGGTCCCACACTCAAGTGTTACTAGGAGCACCCCTGGGGTGACAACTCCCAGGGGGCACAGACACCATGGACTCTGTCTTCCTAGCCCCTGGCCAAAGTAGACCCATTCAAATCAGCAGGAACTGGGCCCATCAGCAGTCTGTGGGCACCTCGGTTTCTGTTCCAGCCGATAGTAGCCTTCAGAGCCAACATCATTCCAGCAGGGGTACTATACAGCCAACCATTCTTACCAAAGGGCAAGAATGACAGCGAAGCACCCCTACTTGACACTATAAAGAACAGGTGCTACACTTAGTCTTAGCCAAATGGCCAAGAAGGCTCCAGGGTCACCAGTGATACTATCACAGTGCAAAATCAGCAGCAGAGGGAGCACATACAGTGGATATAAAAAGCCTACACACCCCTGTTAAATTGTCAGGTTTCTGTGATGTAAAAAAATGAGACAAAGATAAATAATTTTCAGAACTTTTTCCACCTTTAATGTGATCTATAAACTGTACAACTCAATTGAAAAACAAACTGAAATCTTTTAGGGGGGGGAAGTAAACATAAAAAAATAAAATAATGTGGTTGCATAAGTGTGCACATTCTTATAACTGGGGATGTAGTTGTGTTCAGAATTAAGTAATCACATCCAAAATCATGTTAAATAGAAGTCAGTACACACCTGCCATTATTTAAAGTGCCTCTGATTAACCCCAAATAAAGTTCAGTTGTTCTAGTAGGTCTTTCCTGTCATTTTCTTAGTCGCATCCTACAGCAAAAGCCATGGTCTGCAGAGAGCTTCCAAAGCATTAGAGGGATCTCTTTGTTAAAAGGTATCAGTCAGGAGAAGGGTACAAAAGAATTTCCAAGGCAATAGCTATACCATAGAACACAGTGAAGACAGTCATCATGTGGAGAAAATATGACGCAACAGTGACATTACCAAGAACTGGACGTTCCTCCAAAATTGATGAAAAGATGAGAAGAAAACTGGTCTGGGAGGCTGCCAAGAGGCCTACAGCAACATTAAAGGAGCTACGGGAATATCTGGCAAGTACTGGCTGTGTGGTACATGTGACAACAATCTCCCGTATTCTTCGTATGTTTGGGCTATGGGGTAGAGTGGCAAGATGGAAGCCTTTTCTTACGAAGAAAAACATCCATGCCTGGCTAAATTTTGTAAACACATGTCTAAAGTCTCCCAAAAGCATGTGGGAAAATATGTTATGGTCTGATGAAACCAAGGTTGAACTTTTTGGCCATAATTCCAAAAGATATGTTTGGAGCAAAAACACCACATCACCAAAGGAACACCATATCCACAGTGAAGCATGGTGGTGGCAGCATCATGTTTTTCTTCAGCTGGAACTGGGACCTTAGTCAAGGTAGAGGGAATTATGAACAGTTCCAAATACCAGTCAATATTGGCACAAAACCTTCAGGCTTCTGCTAGAAGGCTGAACATGAAAAGGAACTTCATCTTTCAGCATGGTAACGACCCAAAGCATACATCCAAATCAACAAAGGAATGGCTTCATCAGAAGAAGATTAAAGATTTGGAATGGCCCAGCCAGAGCTCAGAACTGAATCTGATGCAAAATCTGCAGGGTGATCTGAAGAGGGCTGTGCACAGGAGATACCCTCGCAATCAGACAGAATGTTTTTGGAAGGAAGAGTGGGCAAATATTGTCAAGTCAAGATGTGCCATGCTGATAGACTCATACCCAAAAGGACTGAGTGCTGTAATAAAATCAAAAGCTGTTTCAACAAAGTATTAGTTTAAGGGTGTGCACACTTATGCAACCATATTATTTCAAATTTTTACTTCCCTCTACTAAAAGATTTCATCTTTTTTGCTCAACTGAGTCATACAGTTTATAGGTTACATTAAAGGTGGAAAAAGTTCTGAAATGATTTATCTTTGTCTTGTTTTTTTTCCATCACAGAAACCTGACATTTTTACAGGGGTGTGTAGAGACTTTTTATATCCATACAGTGCCCAGTTGATCTTTTTTTCCACCATCATGTTGCTGCTAGTATAGATTCGTGAGAAAAAATCCTAATTCATAGCAACATTTTACCAATGTATTGGCTGTGATGGTGGTGTACAAATGAGTAAAGTCTGAGAAACATAATACTAAAGCACTAGTTAATACTGTTATAAAGCTAAATGTGACGGAGGAGATGGCAATACCTTTTGTCGTCCTCTCTTAATTCCTGTTTGTCCTTTTGCCATTTAATTGTGCGAGAAGGAAGGAGATGAGGATCACAGTGAATATGACAGGTCAGGGTTGTACTATGCCCTCTCTTAACCCATGGATGCTCAGGAGACACATATCCTCTTGTAGGTTCTGAGAGTGGAACATGTGGAGATATTTAGTGTATTGTGCAATATGATGTGCTATTGCCAAAGAATATTATTTTAGTAACAATTCAACAGTACCTCGAAGTACCACATTGGCCATGACAGAGGCATTTCCTCTCGAGTTTGACACTTCACAAATATATGAGCCAGCATCTTGTGCTTCTGCTTGCTGAATATGTAGGCTCCCATGTTCATCTATTGTGTAACGGCCATTTACAGGATGCACTATTCTTTTCCCATGGTACCTGGTTTACAAAAATAAATGTGTATGTTTAGTCATATAGCTATATGACTGCCACAGATGAACAGATCTCCACCAATAATGATAAGCAGTGAAACCTGTCCTTGCTGAGATCATATACTGCTGGAGCAGTTGCTGCTTTTCTACATTTTGCAACCAATGTATGAAAGTAGTGTTAGAGCAGGGATAATATTCTTTTTTTTATTTCAGCCGATTTGAAAAATGCAATTAGGCCCCTTTCACACTAGTGGTCCGACCGGGTCTGACTGTCCTTTTTTTTCAGGCGGACCCAATCAGACCCTCCATTCTCCTCTATGTGTCTGTTTGCACCCGCTTACATCCAATCCATTCCGGTCAAAATAGACAGAGGCAGGTCGAATCAGAAGGCTGATGGAGAGCAGGCTGTGTCTGTGTCTGCTCTGCATAAGCAGAGTGAACATGGACCAGCCATTTGCCTGCTCAACCCATGAGAGAGGGACCTAAGTGATAAGGAACATGCCTGACTCCCCATCATTTGCAAGTTACTCAAAACAGTGACTGTTTGTTTTAAGGCTTCCTGCATCCCGTCTCTCCTAGATGCCTTTCCTCCTGGCTGCGCTGTTTTGGCAGATAAAAAACTTGATGCTTGTAAATACGTGTAGAGTGTTTAGGCACAATTAGCACTGGGGTGTTAATTCATTTATTTGGCCAGAATAATAATTTATTCTGGCCTTTGAAACTAATTAATGCTCAAGTGTTAAATGTGCATTTAAACGCATTTACAAATGTCAAGTGGTTTTTCTGTTGAAATACCACTGATCCAGGACGTGCTGGAAGTGGCTTTTTTTCTGCCTATAAATACCCCTGCCTCTAAGCTCCTCTAAATGCTTGTGTGTACATGGACACATAGGATAACAGCAGGGGTGTTTAGATGCAGAAAAAAAAACAACGGGTTGAAAAGGAAAAACTGACCTGCTTTCCCCATCTACACACTCAACGTGGAATCCCTGTGGAGACTACCCCGCTGCTGTCAGAATCAACATTTCAGGCTATAGCCTGCGGTGCAGATCTAGTGGGGAAAATCTAACAGGGTGGTTGTATAGTAGTAAAGAAAAAGCTTTGGCCATACTGCTCCTTTAAGAATAGCTGTCCTCTATTACAACAGAGAATCAGTAAAGAAGTGGAAAATCACTTACCAGGTAATATCAGCAAGCGGAAATGCAAAGTGCTCACACAGTAATAAGACATTATTTCCCCACACTGCTGCATATGTTCTGCCCTCAGGAGTTAAAATCAATGGCACAATGTCTGTTGGAAGCAAAGTGAGACAATTACCAGAAATAAATCTTTAAGCACTTTTAAAGTCTCACACCTTTATCTCTGTAAAGTCCTTTAGGCCTCACTCACACTTGCAAATAGGTCCAACACCGATTACATTCGAGAACCCCAACAGTTCCCATAGCTAGGAGGCATTCAGCCACTTTTTTCAGGCAAAACTGGCTGAACCACTGACACTTATTGGCTGAATGCCTCCTAGCTATGGGAACTGAACCCTAATGGATGATTCATAGCTGTAATCCAGCTCTGATGAAGAAGGGATCACCCTTCGAAACGCGTTAGCTTGACCAAGAGTTTATCACCCCTCCGGATGGAACTTGCATGTGTGTTGGCTATGGTTATTATATGCCTATTTTCCTACTACTATTGTGAGTATATTTTATTAATATATTCATCTACTGTTTACTGAGGTAATGTGCAAGGTTGGTGCGCTCTCTCTTTTATTCTTTACTACAGACATTAGTTTGATGGTCAGTGAGAAGAATGCTCCTTACACTTGTGGTCATTGGGAAGAATTCTCCCCGTTACAGATAGCCAAAAAGATCAGTGGTGTCAGTGGTAACTTATCTGAGAGGCAGAAATTGCTCATTGCTAAAGGAGCCCCTAACAACCTGTGGAGGAACCCCAGGCTTCCACAGAACCCCGAATGAGAAACTCTGATCCAAAAATACCGTTACTTGCTCGTTACTGGTTAATATTTCCACTTCTTTTCAACCATCCAAAATTAAAGGACATAATATAATACCCAGACATAATATACTTACCCAGAACATCAATATTAGCAGTGGAAAGAATAGTTCCATGTTTGTTTGATGCTTCACACTGGTACACGGCACTGTCTGACACTTGAAGGGAATGAATGAACAGCAGACCTCCCATCCTTTGGTGGTTGTCAGGAAGTGTCCCATCTTTACGTAGAAGTATAAAAAATAGTTATAAAAGGAACTGCAACAAGATGGCCCTTACAATATTAAAGCTAATTACTAATCTGTCTCTAAGCACACTTTCATAAAACACTACTTAGAAATTCAGTAGTTTCTTTACTGAAACATAAGAGATAATATCTAGAAGAAGTAGCGTTACATTTGTCCAAAAAAAGTGTTGCTAATGTGACCACATGCCTCTTCCCAGGCCCATCCAAAGATATGTTCATGTCCAATTTTAACCAATTGGACCAATTTTAACATCAGCAAGGGGCCTGAGCAGTGAGCCAAGCTGTTCTGACTTATAATAATATTATAATAGTATTATAAAAAAAATCTGAAGAATATATTTAAAAAATATATATTTTTAAAAAAATTTTTTTCATATATTTTTTTAATATATAAAAAACGCATCCACTTTACCTCCTCTCTACAGCAGTTTTTCTCTTGTGCAAAATCACGTATATATATATATATATATATATATATATATATATTTATATATATATGTGATTTTGCACTTCCCCTCATGGAGGCGCACTCGCACCACGAGTGGATCGCTTCTGCTGTGAACTGTCACAGCAGGAGCCGATCTGTGAGTCCCGCCAAATGGATCTTCGCTGGCACCCATAGATCGTCAGTCAGGGAGGAAGAACAGAGCTGTGCCTATGTTTACAGTGCACAGCTGGGAACATGATCCATCACTTCCCCTTGTACCAGCTCCATCTAGTGTACACCAAGCACATAGCTAGGCACACACTTAACCCTTTGATCACCCTAGATGTTAACCCCTTTCCAACCAGTGTCAACCTTACCAACTATGTAAACATATATATTTTTTTTGCAGGACAAACAAGGTTTTTTCAGTGATATTGTCTTGCACACTTTTTTTTTTCTACAGATAACAAAATTAAAGATTGTGGTCTTACGTTCACCATTGTGTATTTTAAAACAACTAACGTTAGATAAAAAATATAAATTTCAATCTAGAAATTGTCCTGTTATTAATGGCACTAAAGTTGTCTTTATGGTACATAGAATTGCAAAGCTGTTTGCAAATATATAATGTTTTTTTCAATTTTGCACAATTTCTTAAATGCAAATTTAAAAAAATGAACAAAATGAAAAAAAAATTTAAAATAAAAGAAAAAAAAATCTGCAATGAAATAATAGCTATAATGAGAAAGCAATTACTAGGGCTGATTAGGGTTAATTAAGATTAAATAGGGAGTTAATTAGGTAGACATTTTATTTAAACATTTTTCTTTGCAGGTTTGCTTTAACTGATATCATATGCAGTTCATATGCCCCTCCCCCCCCCTTTGATCTGACAAGAATAAAAAAGCGTAAGGCAATGTAACAATAATGTTATTATTTGGAATTTGTCAATTAAGCTTCCAAACATTGTTTAGAACACAAACTTTTAGCTCATGCAACAGCAGCTGCAGACTTTGCTGTGATACTGATATTCTTTATATTTATGTAATATTTGTTCCATTTGGGCAAGTAGTCATTGTAACCAATTAGGTCCCTTAATATATTGCTAAATTTCCCAGTTTCATGAATGTTTGATGGCTCTGCTGACTATGCCAATTAATAACAAACACTATTTAATTTGAAATGGTTTTAGTCTGTAATGTTTGTTTTTACCATCCAGAAGAATTCCGTTTCTTCGCCATAGGATTTCTGGCTCTGGTGTTCCCAAAGCTGAACAATTTAGAATAATTTCAGAACCAACTGACTGTATAGAGCTTTCCAGCTGCTTCTCCCATCTGGGAGGCTCTAAAAAGTATAACAAATCAAAAAGTCATTTTTGCCATGTGATATTCTAACATAAAAGTCATAAAGAAAATATTAAAACATATCGTCCTTATAAAGAAGAAATATGATCTAAATGAAATATGTCAACAACTTATAATACAATAACCTCTTGGGTTATACTTAAAAGTGTATTCTGACAGAGTTTATATTTACAGTACATAAGCTTTTAATAATTTTGGTATTTTGGTTCACTTCCTAAAATTTTGGGAATATTTTCCTTTCTTTCCTAGAGACACAGAAGGAAGTGCAATCTGTGACACACCAGTCTGGCAAAAAATTACAAATATATCTTCCATTATTGCTGGTCATCTGATCCATCTAAATGCAACTAATTGTCTTGTATTTGCCTCAATTCCTAATGCTTCTTTTTTTTATTATATATTTTATTAGTTTCAGCATTACAAAAGTAAGTCATCACATTACTATTCATTACGAAAAACATTTTCCTATACATATTTTCCCTGATACTCTCCCTAACCCCAACCCCCCCCCTTTACCCAGACCCCCCTAATCGATCCCCATTTCCTTTTGCCTTTTCTTCCTATTCCTCCTATATTCTCTGCAACTTCCTTCTCCTCCTTCCTTTCCTCCTACCTTTCTTTTCCCTACCTTTTAAGATATTATTCTTTCTTCTCTTCATTCCCTACTCCTACCACTTCTACGTATTTCCTTGAGATTTTAAACTCCTTCAACCTTTCTCATGTTTTTTAAAATTCTTCCATTTTATCCTCTACAATATGGCAAAGTTCCTCCATCCTATATGTATAATCCACTCTATTTATCCAGTCTTTTATTTTTGGTGCCTCTTGAGCTTGCCAAAATTTAGGTATCAATCCCTTTGCTGCGTTTTTTAAATGGGATATCATCATATTCTTATATTTTTCTGCTGAAAACTCAGTGTTATGGAATAAGCATACACATTGATCCTTCGCAATATTAGTTCCCATATTCTACTATATTTGGTGAATTATTTCCTCCCAGTACTCCCGTACCCACATGGAAGAAAAATATATTTAAATATATTTTAAAAATATTCTTCCTAAATATATTGACATATATTTGGAGTGCTACAATTTTGGCCATATTCAATATATTTCAATATATATATATATATATATATATATATATATACTGCATGTTGAAATGCATTTTATACTGCATGTCTTAAAAATACAAATCTACATTTTTTAAATGTGTTTAGCTTGAGGTGATTGTAGCCGTATTAGTGCATTTGCGACAGGAACAATTGAGTACTGTCCGTGATCCTTTTTTTAATTATTTGCACTAACATACATGTATGTTAGTTGTATGTTAGTGCAAATAAAAAAAGTATCATGGACAGTACTCAATTAAATGTGTTTACAAATATATGTAACAAATATATGTTATAACAAATATATGTTAAAATTACTTTTTCATATGTTAAAAAAAAATATTAAGAATATATTTTAAATATATATTTTTTAAAATATATTCTTCAGATTTTTTTAACATATAAAAAAGTAATTTTAACACATATTTTTTACATATATTTGTAAATGCATTCCAAAAATGTAGATTTGTATTTTTAAAAACATACAGTAAATTTGAAAAGTATTTTTACAAATATTTTTCATATATATTGTAGTAAAAGCGCATTTCAACATGAAGTATGTGTGTATATATGTGTATATATATATATATATATATATATATATATATATATATATATATATATAATATGGCCAAAATTGTAGCATTTCAAATATATGGCAATATATTTTGGAAGAATATTTTTAAAATATATTTCAAATATATTTTTCTTCCATATGGGTATCTTGGAGCATTCCTACCATATATGTGCCATTGTGCCCTTTATCTCACACCCCCTCCAACACATAACAGGCGATTTCTCTACTTGTTGCTTATGTGTTACATTAGGTGTAATATACCTTCTTGCTAAACATTTATAATTAATTTCCACTACCTCCATGTCTACAGCCCCATGTGTTAATCTAAATATTTTCTTTCTTTGCTGCTCATTCAGTGATATTCCAAGCTCCATTTCCCATTTCTCCATATAAGGTAGAGAAGTGGGTCCTACTATTCCAGTGAGGATCTTATAAATACGGGAGGTACTATGTTTCTGCATCTTACTTACTCTGAATAATTGTTCAAATGGGTTCAACCTGATGCATCTTCTAATTCAAAAAAGTTTATACTGTACATACGTTTTGTGTGGCTACTCTTTGGAAATGACCCACTCTTCCTTTTCCCCCAAGTTTATGTGCGTATTAATTGTATAATGTTGATGGAATGCATATTTCACATGCTTTATGATTCCTTGCAATGTTTTTCCACCAAATGGGATGTATGGGATTCTAACCACAACCAATTTTCTGTTAATAGCCATGATAATTTCCAGACTGATGTTACAACTTAGTCACTATAGATTCATGAAAACGCTTTTAAGCAATATACCTGCTCTATATTTTTTTTCTACTTTTCTTGTATGTCATTATGTGGGGCTTCAGCTCTGTTTGTTTCACTGACATTATGTTTTAAAGAAAAAACCTCAGATAGTGTGTATTCTGAGCATATGGTTATACATGTGCCAGTGATTTCCACAGCCCCGATACATAGCTGTGTACAGCCTCATCTTATAATTCATCTCAATGGGAGGCTAAACACAGCAGCTGTGGGTCCTGGGAGAATGATTACACAGGCTTTGCACGCTGTACAGCCCCTGTATGTGTGCATGAAGCCCAATGGAAAGTTGCAATGAGAAAAATAGAGGGACTGACCTCTTTGTGAGTCACTGACCCAGAAAAAGTAAGCTGCAAGAAAAGTCAGAATTCCTGATCTATGTACAGTAATTGTTCCAGCTTAGTGACTTAGAAATAATGAAGCAATTGAATAGTTATCACAGCCAGGGAACTAGTTTGTTTCAGCATATTAAGGCCTCATATGCACTGGGTGTTTGGTAAGTCCTGTGCATGAGATTCTGGCATTTTGGTGTGAGTGGAAGACATGAGTGCACTGTCCTGGGCCACTGTCGGCACCCTGCAAAACTCTGAGAGGCTGCAAGCTGCTGCGACTGGACTATGCATCGAATGATACCAACGTTTAGGGCAGGAACAAAAGTCCGTAACACAAAAAGTCAGCGTTTTGGGCATTTGTGTCTGGGAGCATACTGCCCTGATTAGGGGCGGACTGACAACTCATGGGGCCCCCGGGCAATAGGGGATCATGGGGCCCCTGTGTCCTTGCCCTAACTCAAAAAAGCCTATGAAAAAGGTACCAGGGGCATCTCATGGGGCCCCCTACTGACCCCGGGCCCTCGGGCAGTGCCCGAGTTTCCAAATGATCAGTCCGCCCCTGGCCCTGAATGTTACTACCACTGGATACACCATCCAGCCGCAACAGCTTTCAGCCACTCAGAGATTTACAGGCTGATGGCAGTGGAGCTGGACCGTGTGCCTGTGTCTTCTGCACGCATGAAATTTCCAGGATCCAATAATCCAACAGGGATTAAGCATTCAGTTGGCATGAGGCCTAATTATTAAAATGATTTCAAATTCTTTTTGAGTAATCTGAATGGACTAACGCTCTTTGAAACAATGTACCTTCTACATGAACGTGAAAACTGCGATAGGTAGAGCCCATTTGATTTTTGGCTTCACAGTGATATGTCCCTTGATCTGCTTTAGTAACCTCTTTAATTTTAAGAATTTTCCCAAAACTTTCTGTTACTGCATGATACTTTAGAGAATCTTCTCCATCTTTTCTCCAGTGGATCGTTGGTGTTGGTCTAAAAACATAATCATAATAATAAGTAGTTAACAATGAAAATATACTGTATATATATATATATATACACACACACACACTATATTGCCAAAAGCATTGGTCGGCCTGCTTTTACACGCACATGAACTTTAATGGCATCCCAGTCTTAGTCCTTAGCGTTCAATATTAAGTTGGCCCACCCTTTGCAGCTATAACAACTTCAACTCTTCTGGGAAGGCTGTCCACAAGGTTTAGGAGTGTGTCTATGGGAATATTTGACCATTATTCCAGAAGCGCATCTGTTAGGTCAGGCACTGATGTAGGACAAGAAGTCAATATAGTGTGTGTATGTGTGTGTGTATCTATATATATATATATATATATATATATATATATATATATATATATATACACAATATACAGTTAGGTCCATATATATGTTTGGACACAGGCACAATTTTCATACTTTTGGCTCTGTATGCCACCAGAATAAATTAAAAAGGAACAATCCATATGAATTTGAAGTGCAGACTTTCAGCTTTAATTCAGGGGGTTGAACATAAATATCAATTACAAATTTTAGGACCTGCAACCATTTTTATACACAGTCCCTCCATTTTCAAGGGCTCAAATGTATTTGGACAAATAATTATAATCATAAATAAAATGTTCAGTTTATTATTTTGTTGAGAATCCTTTACTGGGAATGACTGCCTGAGGTCTGGAACCCATGGACATTACCAAAGACTGGGTTTCCTTCTTTCCGATGCTTTGCCAGGCTCTAACTGCAGTTGTCTTCAGTTGTTCTTTGTTTTTGGGTCTTTCTGCCTTTAGTTTTGCCTTCAGCAAGTGAAATGCATGCTCAATTGGGTTGATATCAGCTGATTGACTTGGCCATTGCAGAATATTCCACTTCTTTTCCTTCAATGCTCCTGGGCTGCTTTTGCAGTGTGTTTTGGATCATTGTCCATCTGTACTGTGAAGTGCCATCCAATCAGCTTTGCTGCATTTGGCTGAATCTGGGCTGACAGTATATCTCTAAACACTGCAGAATTCATTCGGCTGCTTCTGTCTTCTGTCACATCATCAATAAACACCAATGACCCAGTGTCACTGGAAGCCATGCCACTGGAAGCCATGCATGCCCATGCCATCACACTACCTCCACCATGTTTTACAGATGATATTGTGTGCTTTGGATCATGAGCTGTTCCAAGCCTTCTCCACACTTTCTTATTTCTATCATTCTGGTACAGATTAATCATAATTTCATCTGACCAAAGAATGCTTTTCCAGAACTGGTTTGGCTTTTTTAGCTGCTTTTTGGCAAAGTCTAATCTGGCGTTTCTATTCTTCAGGCTTATAAACGGTTTGCACCTTGTCGTGAACCCTCTGTATTTGCTCTCGTGAAGTCTTCTCTTGATTGTAGACCTTGACAATGATATGCCCACCTTCTGGAGAGTGTTCTTCACTTGTCTGGATGTTGTGAATGGGTTTTTCTTTACCATAGAGAGGATTCTGTGATCAACCACTACTGTTGTCTGTGGACGTCCATGCCTTTTTATGTTGCTGAGCTCACCAGTGCGTTCTTTCCTCAGAATGTACCGAACTGTTGATTTGGCCACTCCTAATGTTGCTGCTATCTCTCTGATGGATTTATTTAGTTTTTGAAGCCTTACAATGGCCTGTTTCACTTGCATGGACAGCTCCTTTGAATGCATTTTGTAGGGTCACAGCAATAGATTCCAAATGCAAATACCACACTTAGAATCAACTCCAGACCTTTTACCTGCTTAATTGATGAAGAAATAATAGAGTATCCCACACCTAGCCATAAAAGAGTAATTGTTCAATTACTTTTGATCCCTTGAAAAAGGGGCAATGGCTACTCTTAATTGTAATTCCTAAACCCATATCCAATATATAACTATAGCTTGAATATGTTTTGGTAAATACCTGAAAAAAAATGACATTGTGCCTGTGTCCAAATATATATGAAATGTTTGCCCACTTACAGAGAAATTATCAGTCTAAAAATCGAATGGTAGGTATATTGTAACACTGAGAGACAGAATAGCAACAAAAAATTCAAAAGAAATGCATGTCTAACAAATTATGCACTGATCTGCATGTTCATGAGGGAAATAAGGATTTGATCCCCTTCACAAAACATGACTTAGTACTTGGTGGCAAATCCTGAGAAGCTTGCTCTGTCCTTTAAGATGCTGATTGGTGAACTTATGTTTCTGACTGAATACTGAACACTTATCTTTAATAACATGGAATGAAACTAGATCTACAATTACATATTTCTAATGATCACATCACATCTCAATTACCCTACTCTTACATTTATATTACAGCTGCATACTTTATTTCCTATTCTTAAGCCCCGATGAAGAGGGCAAGGTTTGGTCTTCAAAAGTACTGGCTAACGTGTATAGTCTTTCACCTGCTATTACAAGCCAAGGCAACCATGGGAATATTTGGTGTGTAGAAGCTGCCAATACAGTGTCCAGACATCCTATACAAATACGACTTCCATATTATTGGATAGTAACACTAATAGAAAAATTTCAGGGTTCCAGTGCTACCTACCTATTCCCAGAAATGCCTATTGTATTAGTCAATAGGCCACCTGCCCAATCCCCCATCAGCCTACTTTTTTTTACTAGGCTCTGCCTCAACTTTGGCCTGCATGTATTTCTGAAAATTACCAAGGAGTGTCCCCTACCCAGCCTCAGCTACAGAAGAGTGATAGAGGAGAAGAAAGTAACTGTTGATTTCCTGTGAAAAAGGCCACTGACTCTCTTCTTGGCATCAATACCAGGCCTGTTGGGATATCAAGTGAACCTGTTACAATACCCTGAATGGGTTAAATACAGGTTCACTTTAAATTAAAAAAATCTACTTTGAAGTGGGCCTTGCACCTCACCAGGTACAGAATCCTGTGCTGTCCTTGTCTGTTTCTGACACACCTGCCTCTCTTCTGCTGGTGGTCTGGTCCCACACCTTTTTGTCTTTTTGCAAGTTAGCCATCTATCCCTGGTTCTTGTAGCAACCCCCCTTCCCAATGATGTGCTATTTAAGGCTGCAAGAATTGGGTACCAGCAATGCAAGCATCCTAAGATATTGCAGGATTTCGTGAGCAATGGAAAATACAGCCTTGTGGGAAATGTGACATACAGTAGAAAGCCCAGTAGGCAGAGTAACAGCAAATTAAATATCACCCTAGCCTAGGTGAACATTAGGGAAGTAGGAGGGCGTTATTGAACTATTTAAAAAACTGGTATGTGTAATAGAGAAAAAAAAACTCTGCAATTTTAGGGAGAAAGAAAGTGGGAAGAGAAAAGAGATCAGTTTAGCTAATAATAGTAGCTTATAATGATAGTGATAAAACATTTTTTAAAGTAAAACTTACAATCCTTCTGCAATGCACTCCAGCAGCAATACTTCGCCTTTCAGCACAACAATAGGGTTGTTTGTTCCTCCTTGGGTTGTTAATATTTTTGGAGCTCGATTTTTTAACTGGCCATCTAAAAATAAAAATAAATGTCTTATTACCAATCAAATGAAGGTAATAAACATACCCTAATTTGCAGCAGTTCTCTGCTGTGTGCTTATAATTCATTATCAAATTTATACTTCATGAATAAGAACACAGTATATACAATATAAGTTCATCAGTTACCAAAACTATGTATTTTACACCTAATATACATAATTAGAATAAATAACCTACACTCTAGGACTTACATGTGATCTGAAAGTGCCTAAATATTTAAATTACTTAAAAAAACAAGGCTGCTCATGTAAAAAAGCACAAACATGAACTCATGTAGTGTGCGGCTGCTAATACTCACCTCCTGTTCTCAGGGCTCAAAATTACAAGTCCTGAGCTACTAGCCAGGCCTTAAGAGTTACTCGCCACCAATTGCCCCACCCAACCCCTACCCTGACCCACCCTAATTATGCCCCCCCCCCCACAGCCATGTCCTCTACCCTATTTCACACCCCCTCTCCCCCCTACGCCCCTTCACACACACCCCACCCTCCACAGCCATGTCCTTTGCCCCCCTTCACACCCGCCCCACCCCCATGTCCTGTGTTCCTTCTTCACTCCCCCACTGCCATGTCCTCTACCCCCATGATATGACACCCTATTTAATATAGCAGTAAAATATTATTTAATTGATCTGCCTGTGATAAATAAAATATAGATAAAATATGATTGGCTACTATAGGCACTGTACCAATCTTTACTGCCTTGTAAATAAATATTTTAATGCTATATTAAATATAGCATTAAAAAAATTAAAACCAATGAATGACTCACTTATTTAGCATAAGCACAGCACTGGGCAGGGGAGCAGGAGCTGCCAAAGTTAATATTTCCTATTAACACGTTGGTGACTGGTTGCTAGGAGGTCCAAGCAACCAATCACCAGCTAGTTAATAGGAAAAGTACATTTTGGCAGCTCCCGCCCAATCCCCCTCCCGCTCCACCCCCCACTTCATCTAGTTCTTCACCGACTCCTGCTGTATGCCAGGCCCTGCTAAGAGAATGACGGGGGGCACAGACTGGGAAGGCAATCGGCTCCTGTTCAACCCCACCTGCCGCCGGCACCCAATAACCCCCCCATGCAGCTCCACACTCTGCCTCAGCTCTTTAGCTTATTTACACATGCCTGATGCGAGCAGAAATTTTGAGGGCTGTTCTTCTGAAAATAGGAATTAATTGGCCATCATGCCAATTCCATGAATTCAATACTTTTTGAACAATTAAATCAGAACAAGAATGCCGATCAGGAGCTTTGACTTATTCAGTACTTGTGGGAGAGTTGGATGCTTGTGACCCCCACCATTCATTGTGGTTCTATGCCCCAGATGTCAGAGGTTAGAGGAGAATGAGCAGACTGGTTCGCAATGATAGAAAGGCAACAGTAACTCAAATAAAAGCTCAATACAACCAAGGTATGCAGAATACCATCTTTTAACGCACAATACATCAAACCTTGCAGCAGATGAGCTACAACAGCAGAAGACCACACCAGTTAGCAAGGTTTACCTAATAAAGTGGCCGGTGAGTGTATAATGCCAACAGGTAATGCATTACATCTGAATGATCCCTTAGAACTGGCATCCAGACTAGATGTTGATTTTGAGTAGATGCACTGTAGAAGCTTAGTAAAAGTTAGGTGTGACACACTACTAAAAAAACTTTCATATAACCAATATATTGTTGCCTATATTGAAATGGATAGTGTTTAACACCTTGATGCAATTTCTCACTAGTTTAGAATGGTCTGTCAGTTTGAGCTAATGCAGGTTGTGCATCAAAATTTTGGTTGAAAAGTTAGGAGAACGTTCTTACTGGTAAGGATTTTGAGGCGAATTGGTGTCTTCTGTGTCATATGCCTGATCCTGGAGAAAGCAGCAAGGCAGGAATAATTTGTTGAGCTGTCCATTCGAGTTACATGTGAGAAATACAACTTCCCATCAAGTCCAACTGACACACGTTTGCTCTGAGTGATATGACGAAGATCTGAAATGAAACCACCAGTAGATAATAAAAACTGTATGTTTTGCAAACAGGCATACATAAATGTGATGCTTTCCAAATATATTTCACATGGAGCGCAATAAATGTCAGTGGACACCTGAAATCAACCCTCCAGAGATGCTTACTTATCGGCTACTTGCTTTTTGGTTATGGGGATCATTTGCCTCACATATCATTATTTCATGCAACAATGTTGGCCCAGTACTGTCACAAAGGGGACAGTCCTCTGCCCTGTGCAAGCTTTGACTGTAATGATTCTTAGCTTACAGAAGATGTTTTCTTCCTACTCCTGGCAACAAAATAGAGCAGCAGGGAAAAATAGGAAGGTAAGCATATGCTGGTTATGGTGGCTAAGAATCAAACATGTTGCTTTGCCCTTCATGAACAAAGAATTGATTCACTTTAAAGCAGAACTAAAGCATATTTATTTCAATGCAAACACTCTAAAATTGCAAGTTACAATTTTTGCATGAATGCATATTTGCCAACCTGTGTTACCTTTTACATTATCTATATTTTATATTGTTCATATGGAATTTTGCCCAGTCTGTTCATCAGCATTATTGGGAGATGATAAAGGGGTGGTATCATCTAAAGCAGCCTTTTTTTTTTACCACAGATAAATTTCAGGTCTCAGGGAACCCTTTTGAAAACCAATTCATTGGTGGTCAGTGGAAAAAATGCCCCTTGCATTGGTAGCTACTGAGTGGAATGTCCCCCTTACAGCAGTACTCTGTCACCCATATAAATAGCTCAAAAGTTCACAAAGCTGGCTCAGCCAAGTGGTATTGACCCCAGAACTATGAGGACACCATTAAAAGGGAGGTCTGTCTGCCACAGCTTAAGGGACCTCTAGCAACCTCTGGAGGAACCCTAGGGTTCCAAGTATCCCTTGTTGAGAATGTCTGATCTAAGAGAAGTAATGTAATCATTCCCTGTAGGCACATTTTTTTTATTTTTTTTTTCTTTTTGCCAGGAATTAATGTGCAATAAGGCATTTCTACCAATCCTCTCTCTTCCTCCTACTCCTTTTAAACCTTTTGTTATTTGTTAAAAAATGAAGCTGTCAAAAAAATAAGGACGAAAAAAATGGACAGGACTTGAAGCCACTCTGTTGGTATCTGCCTCTTAAGCAAATATAGGAGCATAATGGCATACTAAGGGGATGGTGTGGGAAACCTATGACCTCTGTAAAGATTGCAGAGCTGAAGCAAATAGAGAATCTTGAGTCCTGCACTATGTCTGCATGGCAGCTCAGAGACCCTCTGGAAAATCCACAAGACGAATACTTTTGGGAGAGTGTATGTACTATTTTAACTTGCAATTTTAGAATTTTAGAGGGTTTGCATTAAAAAAAAAAAAAAAAAACCTTCTTTAAAGCTTCTGCTACTTCTGCTTTAAAGCATATTTTCTCCACCCTCAAATATCTGAATGGACGCAAGCAATGTTAGGAACTTTTGGTGAAGGGATAAACAGATATTTCTACCAAGTAGTGTTATGTAAGTAAAACATAAGACCAAGGAAATTCTAAAGCTCTACCAAAATAAAGCATTGGGTTTTTTTCAAAACGTGAACAATTTCTACAGTGCCGCACAGCGGCTAAATGATTAACACTTCCACCTGGCCGTACTGGGGTAGTTGGTTCAACTCCCAACCATGGCACCACCTGCCTGGAGTTTGCATGTTCTCCCTGTGCCTGCATGGGTTTCCTCTGGGTGCTCCAGTTTCCTCCCACACTCCAAAGACATGCTGGTAGGTTAATTGGATGCTGTCTAAATTGTCCCTAGTATGTGTATGTATGAATGAAAGTTATGGACTTTAGACTGTACACCCCTTGAGGGTTAGGGACTCGTGAATGTACAATATATATGTAAAGCACTGTGTAAATTGACAGTGCTATATAAGTATCTGTAATAAATAAATATAGAGCCAGTTATTAATTATGAGATAATATGCACCCTACTAAAGAGACCATCTGGGAACACAAATACAAAATAGACTCTGAGTTTTTACCAGGTGTCATCCAGTGGACAGAAACTGGTGGGATGCCAGCAGGAGGATCACAACTTAAAACAGCAGGGTCCCCTTCTTCTAACTCCAATGGTGGGATTTCCTCTCTTGGAAATCTAGGATCTCCTGTAGGGTATGGAAATGTTAAATGTATATTTGTAACCAAAAAGAAAAAAAAGAATATCAACTTTACTTGTTGACTGATCCAGTCCTATGTTGAACATTCAAGTTAAAGATAAAGAAGATACTGTAAGTCATTTATGACTGATAGCTATTAATTGAATAATTGTGGAAACTAAGTTCTGATACCAATATTTATGCTTTTCATGCTTGTTGGTGGGCAGTTCAAACAGAGTAGCACCACCTCTGTGTCCATTCCTGGGACTGGAGTAACAGAAATAAAATGCCTCATTGATCACTGTGGTACCTATCAAACACCAGTCACACATATGAAAGTAAAATTCCAAAGATATAAATTGCCTGAGTGTTCTTTTTTTCACATGAAGATATAGTTTATTTATATAAATATTCAAACAGATAACATGAAACAACCAAGTAAAACACAAAAAATACGTTGTAAAAAATATCCAATCTTGCATAAGGATAATTTCTAAGAAAAATTGATTTTGGCTTGGGTGATTGAAGTTTAACTCAATAAGCTACGGTAAGTGAATTTTCTTTCTGTAATATGAATTTTCACTTAGCTGAGTGAATTAGATGATGTTGTGCTGACTCTGAACATCCAATCATGTAAACCCCCCCCCCCTTTTTTTTTTTTTGCACGTTTGCACATTTTTTGCAAAGTGAATTTTTACTTTGTTAACCTTATTCACTGAGATAAAAGAAATTGACTTTGCAGAGTGAGCATGCCCTAATCCTTTTGTAAATTGTGGGCATGGTGTATTGTGGAAACATTTACTGTACATATATTCACTGAAATAATGTATGTTATTATATTTTCTTCCCTTAGACTGCTTTGTACACACAGTGAATAGAAATGGTACACTATACTGAAGATCAGAGGACTGGAGCACACACTTGGTTTTAGGAAGGTAAATGAATACCTGGATCAATAAACGTAGTCTCCTCTGAAATGGCCGTTCCTAGTTTGTTTAAGGCATAACAGCGATATGTCCCATTGTACTGTAAAATGTTTCCATTATGGTGGATTACAAAGGTGCCAGAATCTTTTTCAGTCTTTACATTCGGGTCAGTAATTGGACTATACGGTGCCCATTTCTAGTCCAATGGTATCTGCGTAACAGAAAAACAGTATAAGCATTTTACATGAGTGCCTGTTTATAGTCTAAATACACAAAAACTGTACATAAATACCTAGGAATATTTTTTATGAGGGCAAGCAAAATGAGCATTTTGTCCATGTAAATTAATGAAAGGGATGAAAAGAACAGCCGTTTCTTAAGCTTGTAAGCACAAACCTCTGGCAGTAGAGCTGCATTTATTGCCAACACACACTGCCAAGTCCTGAATGCATGTCAGCTGCTCTGCTTTGTCTCTGGAGTCAGTGAGCAGTGACTTCAACAAGGAAGGCACTGCCAAGCAGTCTAGCAAATTAACATTAGCAGAAAGTAATGAAATAAATGGTGTTTCCTTATGGATTTTAATGGTAATTAATATGCCCGATATGTGAGATGCAGTGCCAATGTTTTACAAGATAGGGACATGGAGAGAGATAGAAATGCTTCTCTTTAGTAGCGTAGGAGACTAGAACCCTTGTCAGCAGAGGTGTCCCTAGGGTTGGTGTCACCCGGTGCGATAACACTCGGTGACACCCCCTCTGATGATTCCCGCAGGATGGATCGGATCTGCGGATTGGGGAGGATAATGGATCGGACTCCAAATTATTATGCTCAATCCGCAGATCCGATCCATCGTCGCTATGCAACCTATACGGGGTGACCCCGGACCCGCTCAACGAAAAGGTAAGTTGTAAAGCAAGCCGATGATCCCCACAGGATGAATCGGACTCCGATCCATTATGCTCAATCCACAGATCCGATCCATCCTGCGGGGATCGTCGGCTTGCTTTACAACTTACCTTTTGGTGGAGCGGTTCCGGTGTCACCCCTTGCGGTAGGTGTCACCCGGTGCGGTGTGCACCCCCCACACCTGCCTAGGGACGCCACTGATTGTCAGATTTTTCTTTACATCCTGTCTAGTAAAACATTTATCAGCAGGACAGCAAGTAAGGGCAGATATTTCTAACATGTGGGTAGGTGCAGCGTGGTGCAGTGAGGGGTGTTTTTTTTCACTCGAATCAGCTCTCAGAACTCTCCTCACTGAACTCTGCAGAGTATAATTCCAGCTCTCTGCCCCCTTTTTTTGAACTTTCAAACCAGGTTTATAAAACCAGCACTTTCAACAGATGTGGAGAAGAGAAGACTGCAGATAAATAGGTACAACGTATGTAGGAGGATTTGTTCCATCTCTGTGTATTGCCTGAGGCCAGTCACTTCATTGGGTATATGTAAGGGTTTACAACCACTTTAAGAATTAGTGCAAACTCTTTATTGTTTCATTGCAAACCTCCATGTTGAGGGCATGTGGTCTGGTATTGTTCAAGAGGGGGTGGGAGTGCTCGCTTGTTCCTCCCCTTTCCTGACCATCCAATCCTCAGAATCCATAACAGACCCGAAGGGCTTGGTATGAATGGGGGGGCATGCTGTTTTTAAAAACATTTTTAATTGTCGGCAATTATTTTTACATTCAGCAGGTTCCCCGCTGACAGATGAAACATTAAATGTTTTCACTTCTAAAACACTGCATGACTTAACACCTTCCCGCCCGGCCTATAGCAGATTGACGGCCGGGCAGGACACATGCTGTTGTGACTGGGCGTCATATGACGTCCTGCCAAAACAAGCCGCTCACGTGGCCACGGGCCACGCAGTGGCGCAATCTGTCACCAGCTGTGTCCACGGGACACAGCCGATGACATATCACTACACTGGCCTGTTGCCAGTGTCATGTGACCGCTGTGACCAATCAGAGCAGATCACATGTCCTGTGTATACAATGGATGGCTTCCTGTCATGCCATCCATTGTATACAATTATGTTGTTAGCTGTGACTGGTCAAGGCAGTCACATGATACAGACAGGGCCAATCACAGCCCATCTGTATCATGTGATCAGCTTTGCCCATTCACAGCTAATCACAACAAAAGTCTGAATGAATCAGTTTCATTCAGTAACAATGATTGTAAATATCAATGAAATACATTGGTATTAGCAATCACAATGTGTTCAAAAAAAAATCTTGATCATTTGCCCAGAGTCATTCAATGTTACTATGGTAACATTGTATTGCTTTGGTCACAGTGTGCTGAAAAACAAAATAGTAAAAAAAGGAAAAACATTTAATAAAAATAAAACAAAAATAGAAACATTTGAAAAAAAAAAATACAAATTCAATTATTATTATTATTTTTCACCAAAGAAATGTAGCAGAATACATGTTGACCTAAATTTATGAAGAAATGTTATTTATTCGCAAAATTTTATAACAGAAATGAAAAAAAATGCATTTCTTTTCAAAAGTTTCAGGTGTTTTTTGCTTTATTTAGCAAAAATTAAAAAACTCAGTGGTGATTAAATACCACCAAAAGAAAACTGTATTTGTGTGAAAAAAAGATAAAAATTTCATATGGGTACAGTGTTGCATGACCGCACAATTGTCATTCAAAGTGCGATAGTGCTGAAAGCTGAAAATTGGCCTGGGCAGGAAGGGGGTATAAGTGACCGGTATTGAAGTGATAATAATATAACTCATGCGGTATTTACAGCCGCCTATAGAATTAGTGAGAACTCTTCATTAAATAGGACAGTAAAATCAAGGGAAGACTGTTTCACAAGCTTTGTGCAATTTCTGTGATTTACTGGATACAAGGACAACTGTTGGCTAGAATCCCTTAGCAATACTTGTTTACCATGTTCCAAGTGTTATTGCAAATAATATGTTTCTTGTTAGCAGACATGCTGCTGGAATTCTTTATATATGAACTGATTTGTGGGGCTAATTTACAAAAGCTAGAGCAAATGTAAGGAAAAGAGTAGCTGCTGCCCATACCAACAAATTCAATATTGTCTTTGGGATAAAACAAATTAACTGATACATCTGCAGGATAGCTTGTACTTTTGAAAAACAACTTACTGGCAGGAATACCATATAACAATAGAAGAAAGAAAGCCTAAAAAAGCTGCCATCCCACCTACGAACTGGTGTGCTGCAATATAGTATGTTTGCTTTTGGGTTTAATACTTATTTAAGGAATTTGATTGGCCCATGACAAGCTGCCACAGTTTTCATAAATGTCTTCTATCAAATACTTAGTATTTCCTTCCGCAATTCTGCACAAGTGCCTCTGTGGTGTTCACGTTTACCCACATTCAGATAGATCAAGTGCAATGTCAGAAAATGATGTGTCCCATACACAGTCTGGCTTATTTAAGAAATGAGTGCAAAGAACAATGATAAAGATGTGAAAGATGAGTTCTGATCGGTATGATTTGACATTTTTTTTTTTGCTTTCAATTGAAGGAAGGATATCAGAGACATGCTTGGTGCATCCAAACTGTATACTTAAAGTGTTACTAAACCCACAACAGTAAAATCAGTCAGTATATTTCAGGTACATATATAGCGCCATCAACTTACACAGCGCTTTACATACTGTATATATTGTACATTCATCAGTCCCTTACTCTCAAGGGGCGTACAAACTGAGGTCCCTAACTCATATTCATACATACACATACTAGGACCAATTTATACAGGAGACAATTAACCTACCAGCATATCTTTGGAGTATACGCAGTAAAGCATGCTTGTTATACTCACTGTGGAACCTACGGGGTTATTCCTTCGCATTCTGTAAAAAGGATGTTTGATCCTGTCTTCTCCAATCCTCCCGTTCTTACACAGTCCCCAAACCATCTCCTGATAGAACAGAGCCTTGGGAGCAAACTGCACATGCTCAGTTTGGTGTGTATTGCTAAAGAGTTTTTTTTATTTCTTGGGAGAATGCATGTGATTAGCACAGTGCCAATCAACACTGTCCAGACAGAGGTCAGGGGGTCCTGCAGCCTCATAGGGTAGAATGAAAACTCCTCCTATAAGCTTTAACCAGTGCTCTGCTGGACACTGATAGAAGTCTGCTCTAACTGCTGATGAGAAAAGGTATTTAGCAGTTTATATTTATGGAAATAATTGCATTTCCATGTTTTGTGTACTGTGGGAGACCAGATAGAGTCAATGCAGGGTCCTGGGTTTAGTAACACTTTAACAGAACTAACATACCCTACAGAGAAAGTGAGAAAGTTAGCATTTCTATGATATCATGCAGTTGACATACATAAGCTCTTGGCCCACAACTCAAAAGGTACAATATGTATGTACAGTACACATGAAACGTCTTGATAAGGGAATCTTAAACAGATAACTTACTGTGGCTCAGGGTTTCCCTTAGCTTTACACTTGATGGCAAAAATCTTCACCTACTGGGAAAGCGACCTGGACTCCTTTGGTGACTTCAATGATTGTTGGCAATTGTTCCACTGCGGGAAACAACATAGTTAGTCAAATGAAAACTAATAGCTGTCCATTTTCTGTTTGATTATTACTATTTCTTATAAACCACCATTTCCTAAGTCACATTGCTAGCTTGTATTCAAATATGTCACCCAAATAAAAAATCATTTGCCATGTACTAGACATGTGCGGTTCATTTCATTCCGAAACACATTTCGGATGAATTTTTTTGTTATTCGTAGATTCAGATATATCCAAATAACAAATTACAAATATAAGGAATTTAAAACGAATCCGAAATAAGGAAACGAAATTTGGTCAAAATTTGATTTGAAAACAAACTAGAATTTGAAAAGAAATGCGAAAACAAAACTGAACAAACATTTGAAAACAAATTTAAAGCAGAGCTCCACCCAAAAGGGGAAGTTCTGCTTTAAGGACTGGTCCCCGCTCCCCATTGTTTTTCAATTTTTTCTCCACTCCTCTCTTGATGCAGCACTGGTTACTTGAGTGACCAGTCGGCAGAGCCAAGCTCTGTTATTTAGGGGTGGGTCCTTAGCCCAATACAATCCTGACCAATAACCATCCCTTTTAAACAGGACTTTGGCGGGTGAACAGGGTGGAAGGTGATCATGGGGAAGGTAAGTATCAGCAGCAGAGGGGCAAAAAAAAAAATCAAGCAATCCCATTACTCATGCCAAAGCTTTACAGATCTAAAACTTCAACTGGGTGGGGTCAGTGGTGTATTTATGTTTCTTGCTGTCCTAGGCAACACAAAAATCGGCCCTGACACTGACACTGTCAAACACCCCCCCTCCCCCATGATAAGAGCCTGACATTGACCAACAACAACCCCCGACCCTCCCACCCCAGAGAACCTTCCACTAACACCACCCCCCATACACTGGCAACCCCCCCAACCCAGCGAGAGAGAAGACACTCACCTTCACAGCTCCAGACATCTGTGGGAACAAGAGTCAGGTTCTGCATACACCATCAAGCAGCCTGCAGCCTCTTTCAGATCCCACCTGGTCCCCATGCTGCATGTGTCCTTTCTTCCATCTAATCTTTAGGGGGGTTGCGCTGCCCCCCTGAAAGATGCCTCTGTCCCCCTGAAAAATGCTGCTGCCCCCTGAAAAAATTCCGCCCTAGGCAAATGCCTTGTTTGCCTTGTGGTAAATACGCCCCTGGGTGGGGTAGCAATGTTTGGTTAGCACATTCAGGTAACACCACTGATAAGATGTTTATGTTTATTGCCAGCCATCATCGCATAGTGACTGTACACCCTGGATAAAAGAATAGGTTTGAATGCTAGCACGATAAACATCATATTCAACTACCACTACCCACCTAAATTTTATAATAAAAATGTAATATGTTGCAGCTCACAAGTCCAAAAATATGGTGGCTGCATTGGTTTGCTTTTTACATTGTTAACATTATTTCCACTTGGCACTATTACCAGTAACATACTTTCTGTCCTAGAGTAGGAAACGTTCACTTACTGTACTGTATCTATGAAGGAGCAGCAGTGTCACCCTGATCTGGACTAGGTTTACTCTCCTGATCTGAACTACAACCATCTCTGTAGGCATCAGAAACAATGGGAACAATGTAACTGATAACAGGCTGAACGCATTTTCAAAGATTAGCTAACAGTTTTTCTGGTATATATATTTTTTGGCACTTACTGTATCAAAGATAAAGACACTTTCAATGGTATAATTAACAATTCAAAAGGGAGTAAAAACGAGAAGTTCATTGTTAGGGTTTACATATACTTTAAGGGATTAGTTCACCTTTTCAGAGAAAATAAAAAGGTGAACTAACACTGTACATTCTTCCCACCCCCCAGTCCCCACTGTACTTGCCTCCACATGGGTGATGAGCTGTCAGTGCCCACGCAGCTGGTGCAGCAGTCCAGGGATTTGCAATCCCTGCTCTTGTCCCCCTTCTATCTGCTGCGCTTCCATAATGGATCAGAGCTGTGCTCTGTGCTGGTGCTGTGTTAGCGTAAAGTGCTAGTTCTCCTTTTCATTTATTCTGAAAAGGTCAACTTACACTTTAAGTATCAGTATTTCCTAGGGTTACTTATCTTCTGCCACCAATCAGCATCAAACCAGGCTGAATAGTTGCTGTAAGGAAATAACTAATATTAAGATCACAATTATACACAGGACCCATAGTATAAGGGGTCTTGGATGCTTATACCTCATGTAGAGCTACCCCCTTAGGAGTCACTGACGTTTTGGGTCCCCCTATAGTCCTACACAGCCAGGCAACATGCAGTTTCCATTCAGACTTGTACCAGGTGACAAAAAACAGTCCTTGAGCTTTATTTTGAAGTTTATTAGGGGTCTAGAACTTGGATAGGGTAAGGGGTATATGGAATAAACAAGGGAATGGCAACTGAGGACAAACGTCCTGAAACTATATTACAAGTCTTATGGAGAGTTAGCCAGCATCTCCCAGTTTTACCTCTCCAACCCCAGATGCTCCTAGTTACTACTAGAAGAGAAATAGTCCAAGCTGCAGAGTGAGTTAAGTTTCCCACCCAAATGCTTTCTCCTGTTTCTGGCCCGGGGGTGTAGGTATACTCACTGAGTCCTTCTCTTGTGCTGCTGTTGGGTTGGTGGCTGCCTCCAGGCCTTTAAGCTGGGCACCTCCTTCCTTGCTGCCAGGTGATCCTCTCTCAGGGGGCATGTGAAATCCACAGCTTTCCTCCTTTCCAGCAACCGTCCTGCAAGTCAGCCCCTTCCAGCCCGGGCTCCCTCCCAGGCTCCTACACCTCAACCTCTCTCTTCCACCTCCTCACTCCTACTCCTCCTGTTGAGCAGGCTCCCTTACCCTTAAGGGTTGTCCTGGCCCCTTGCCAAGCCTCCTGCTGGGAATTGGTCAGGATCCCTCAAGAGTACAAACCAGTCACTCCTCAGATCCACCCACTGCCTCTAGACCTTCCTCCAAAGCTGTAGAGCAGGGGAATTCCAGAGCCTCTCAACCTGCCCCAAATTTAACCTCCTGACTATCACACCCAGGCTGCTACTCAGCCCTCCTCTCTGACAATCAGGATTCTAGTTCCCCCTAGCTAACTAGGAAGGTGCTACACTTACAAAAGCTACTACATGATTTTTGAGAAATAAACATATTTGGAAACTACATACTGTATAGTATATTCCAGAAATGTACAGTATATGCACATATGTTCATTTAGCTCCATTTTGGAAAGTTAAAAGCTGTATATTAAAAAAAGTTATCTCAAATTAGACTGTCTGGTTATGTTTGTGGCAGGATTCCAATATGCCTCTTTTCTGGCCTGTGTATGTTACATGGCTTCTATGGTGAATAAAAAGTACACATTGACAAAAGATTAAAGGGTTTCTTTAGGAAACCATTCAGCCATGAAAAGTCACATACTTTTAAATAAACTTTTTGATGTACTATGTGATGCACAAACTGATATATTTGGTGCCAGGATCATTTGTGCTTATCTTTGGTAATAGTTATAAAATGGCCAAGAAAAAAAACAAATCCACAAAGAGTCAGACCAACCAAAATAAATATTTTGGTTACATTTATGGAGATATGTGGGCACGGTCATTCTTTGGCTTTTGATACTTTCATTTGTAAGAGGGGCTCTGTGATTAGCTGGATGTTGACGCCAAAGCACAAGTTCCTGCCCCACTCTTTCTAGAACACTAACCCACCTGCTGAGGCTATACCCTCTGCCCAAATTGTGCCCTACAGCATGCCAGAGGCCTCCAAGAGACATTCCTAGCTATTGACCTTTATATTCCAAAATGAAGGAATGGTGGTACTCGGAAAATGGCACAAACAGTCACATCACATCGACATACATTCCAGAGTCACTTGACAGTATATTGCCAATCACATTTAGTGGATGGTCCACAGCAGTCATGTGAAAGCATACTCAGCACTTTATGCAGCCATCTTCCCTCTGACAGTCTCTCACTCCACCCAGGGTCATTAGTACAAACTGGAATGAGATCTCTGTAGTCCCTTCCTCCATAAGTACACCTTTCCCGGGACCCTCCATGGGAATAGCCTCACTTTTAGCCTGGCCTAAAATGCTTTATGCAACCCACCCTAGCCCCTGCCTCCAAAAGGGTCAGGAAGTCTACAACTGGCTCGCCTGGGGCCTCCAGCCCTGCCCAGGGCCCCCATGTGCTGGCTACATCTGTACTTGTGTAGGGTGATTGGCTCCCATGCCCCAACTGCACTAGGGCTCCTCCCAACCTAGCTTGTAACTGGGCCCTGACTTGCTCACAACATCACTACAGGAGTGATCTAATTAAAGGGGGCCTAGCACCTGATGACTCTGCTTTCTGCAACCAGACGCTATTCTGGAACAGAGCCACCTAGTGGAAGACTAGCTAGCTGCACCTGCCTACATGTTTTTGGCAACAGCACGATCCACCATTCACATTACATCAATATCTAGTACTATAAGCAGTACCGGACCTGATTTACTGGCATCCACAATACTTAAAGTTTATGTCCAACCAAAATGTTTTTAGGGCCCATCCACTCGACTGTTGTGGTAGTGCAGGTTATGTGCATCAGTGTGCTACAGTGCCATTCATTGAATAACACACCAATACACCTCCACCACCCACCTCCAAAACTAACCATGCTGATTAAAGGATAGAACTGAGTAGCTGTTAGGGATCCGGGTATGACCAGAAATGTGTGGACTGACACAGGGAAGTAACAGGCTTCAGAAATGATATAATAATATAATTTATTATTATTATTAGCTACCCAAATATACAACGCACAGTAAATAAACCAACCTTCCACTAATCTTAGTATGTGCAGGAACACAGGCGCAGTCAGGGGTGGAGAGGTGGAAGGGTCAGGCCGGCCATATGGTTCTGTTAACGACCGTCTGGTGATACCCCTAGCAGTCCACAGGACAGGATTCCCCAGGGCACGGAGTCTAAGTCCCAGTCTGCTTATTCACCAGGGACCCTGATGGTGGGGATGGACTTGGAGCAGACAGGAACCA